AAAAATTTGTCAACTTTATTAACTGGCGGTATGCAAAAGTCACAATTTTTCTATCATAATAAAAATGTACTAATTCCACAGCCTCAGCCGACAGCAGGAATAGGCGGCCTAATTATACAGACCATTTCATCTAAATAATAAATTAGCCGATACTGGTGCTGTTCCCATGGCCGAGGCCGCATTCCCGCGTTGGATTTCAATGCTAAACCGCTGGCGCAGATAATCAGTTGCCCGTATTTCGCCCGTTTCTTGGCGTATCATCTGCCCGAGTTCGGTGACTTCACCACTTTATCCTGCTCTGAGCGCGCCGAGGTTGCTCCCGTTCGGTACTACAGTACTAGTAAAAAGTAACACAAAAATAAATTAATACGAATAACTTGTACTCACTGCATTGCATAGTATGCGATAATACGCAAACTTTTAATTGTTGTCTCGCCACGCCCCTTTGACCATGGCAGATGAAAATATTTTTTAGCCATATGCATAGTGCATACTACGATAGTATACTACGATTTTACACAAAATAAAAATTTTCTGAATTTGGAGGGGGAAAATGTGCCCTGGTGAGTAAGCCGAAGCCAAAAAGAGCTTCTCAATGTTTTGAATTCCGAGAACACCCTGTGCGACCGGCAAAGAAGCTTGCATCCATATGGCGTACAAAATTAAGTTTTAGTTGTAGAACACCTGTTTTTATTGTTTGCCAGTTGAACCCTTCACTGGGTCTTCCAGAGCGTCTTCTGCTTTTATCTTCTCTGACTTCTCAAGAGGGTTTTCAAGATGTATAGCTCGGCGCATGAAAACCAATACGTTTAAAAAAACGTTATGGATTTGTGATTTGTATTGGTACACGTACATCAGGGAGAGTGCGATCATGTAACTCACAGAAGAGCGGATTGATGATTGACAAAAAATTTAAAATCGTGTCGATGATTAGGTAACACAGTACCGTTTATAAACTATACGCAGTGGATTCCCGTAATGGCAAGAAGCTGCAAATCGCAGATAAAGCTGTATATCACATTCGCATAGGAAAGTGTGAAAGAAGCAATCGGTTGCTACTGTAGTGTAATGTCGAATTTAAAAACTTGGTGTACACGGTACACTAATTTGTTTCAGTTTTCTCATTCACAGTACGGATTAACTGGTCTTAGTGGCGGTATATTCCGCTCTAAAAATATACCAGGTTTGCAGTCTTGTATAAAACTACGTGTACTCGTATGGAATTCAATGATTCGACATATCGGTCGAAAAGAATGCTTATTTTTTCGGACACAATTCCAAAAGGTAAACAAGTGATCGTTTTATTAGTTTGTGAAATGCCTGACTGACTTGATATTTGCTTCAAGATTTGCCAAGATACCGTCTGACATCAGTGACAGTGTTACAATAGTGTACAAGTCCTTCGCGAAACTAAAAAGGCAACTTCAAGGTTAGTTATTACATGTACATAATACAGTTGCCAAATGATTTTGTTGATTGAGGTGTTACATCAGGCAAATATATATCATTAATTGTAAAGCCGCATCCGCCATTAAAAACCTGGCAGCCTCTCAAAGAGAGGCTCTCATGCACCTTTATATCAAGCGATTAGTTCAAACCTGCCACAACTGTCATTTTAAAAATGCTCATCCTGTCACCGCATGCAGATTCTCATTTTTGTGTTAGTATAATAAATAATATATCGCAAAGTTTTCGTTCAGTGAAATTCTGAGAAAACTGTTCTCCCATCCGCAGCGTTCAAGCCGTTTTCCGTGCGTTGTTATTACGAACTTTGCTTGTAACAAACGGGTTGTCTGTGGCCAAGAACTTGCTATAGGTCAAAGGACTGGGAACCGACTCTGCAACGGTCGACTACGTCATCACTGTCGCAAACAGAATGCACTGCTGTGCTATTGCTTACCATAGGTCCACAGATTTTCTGGTCCCTTTTAAAAGAAATCCTCAGCTCCTTTCTCCTCTAAAGCTTTCTGATATTTTAACAGATCATATTGAACTTAGAAACCCAAACATGAGGGGCTAGAAATAGAAGAGAAAACAAATATGCTGAGAAAATTGACAAAAACCGCAAAAAACGCGCATCTGTCACCATGGCAGCCGCCCTCCCGTGTATGCGAGAGTGGTGACGTCAAACGGTAGGTTACCAGACCTTCTCACACTATAGTAAGTACTTGCTGTGGCCTATAGAGATTTGAGCGATAGGGAGTGTTCACCGCAATCAAATAATGACCTGTGTGAGTAACTAGCAAGAAGCACTTCCGCCATCGCACAGATGTCTGTGACAATAACTTGCAAACCCCGGAGAAAATTAACACAACAAAAACTTTTGTTTTCTCCGTAGTGATCGTAAGTGACGTCACGGTCAGCTATGTCGGCTTGCGGTTCGGTCGATAACCCTAGAGTCTGAATGTGTTTGTTTCACTGTTGACATTTTGAGGTTTGGTATGGGGATTATCGAACTTTTATCAGAAAAAATCTGAAAAAGTCTGGAAACATAAAAACCTATTTGCGGCATATACAGTGTCACGGAGCATCGCGGTTATATACAGGCGTCGCGGCCATCGCGGCGTCGCGGCAGGTATGCCTGCCTACAGTATAAGCCGTGTCGCGGTGCATCGCGGTTATATACAGGCGTCGCGGCCATCGCGGCGTCGCGACAGGTATGCCTGCCTACGGTATAAGCCGTGTCGCGGTGCATCGCGGTTATATACAGCCGTCGCGGCAGGTATGCCTGCCTACAGTATAAGCCGTGTCGCGGTGCATCGCGATTATATACATGCGTCGCGGCCATCGCGGCGTCGCGGCAGGTATGCCTGCCTACAGTATAAGCCGTGTCGCGGTGCATCGCGGTTATATACAGGCGCCGCGGCCATCGCGGCGTCGCGACAGGTATGCCTGCCTACGGTATAAGCCGTGTCGCGGTGCATCGCGGTTATATACAGCCGTCGCGGCAGGTATGCCTGCCTACAGTATAAGCCGTGTCGCGGTGCATCGCGGTTATATACAGGCGTCGCGTGCATCGCGGCGTCGCGGCAAGTATGCCTGCCTACGGTATAAGCCGTGTGGCGATGAATCGCGGTATATACAGGCGTCGCGGCCATCGCGGCGTCGCGGCAGGTATGCCTGCCTACAGTATAGGCCGAGTCGCGGTGCATCGCGGCTATATAGGTGTCGCGCTGGTTGGTAATCTTGGTCCGAAACACGACAGTGACAACTGGTTTCAAGTTTGGTACAAATTGAGCCACTTCTGTACTGACCTCTGGAGGTGGCTTCACGTACCGTATCGTTTTTCTTTGTATTTCAGGGTATGCGTAAAAACCGCGCGCAAAATTTTTGATAGATATGAGACGCAGGGTTGGTACGGGTTTTGAGATACGGTTCGCGGGACACAATATCAGGGAGTTGTAAATACGGGACGCATTCGGATACGCAGCATACCCCCGTCCCGAATCTCTGCACTGATAACCAGGTGCGCGAATCGGAAATGGCCGTACCGTATCGGGTATCTGCTGTTCTGGGACGGCGGTGTACTGTACCGTAGCGAGATTCGCTACAGATATGAGACCATCCCTTACTTTTATGAATTAACTCTGTTCGTCGATGATATGCAGATAGACTATGTACCACTGAGAAGAAGCGATGATCGGCGCAATAAATTGTCTCAATGCATTAGATTATCTATGGTATTCCCGGCGACGCGCTTTTTTATGGTCTGAGAAGCTAATAACTAAAATATCCATCGACCAACACAGGCGTTGAATGGTAAAGATGTGCTCTATAGCCGATAGTATCCGGTGGACTGCCTCGTTGCTTAAGCGCTATGTACCTGCAGCCCTGCTCACAGCGAGCAAGATAACTTTGGGCGGAGAATACAGTACCAGTTCCTAGTTTGTGGTTTTAGGCTGCTGTTAATTATCTACGTATTATCCGCTAAAAAAATCCTGTTTGAATAAAACAAAACAATAAAATTAAACAAAACAAACGATAGAATTAAACAAACAGTCGCATAAACCATTCATCATCTTGTACTTTCTAACCAATGAAAAGCAGATGAAAAGTTTTAAAATGAGGAACATAAAGAAAAAGTGTTGCGCTTTTAATGCTGCTGCTTTAATGAGAGCTATGTTTTCTGGAAATTGACACGTGCAGAGCAAAACTATGGAAAACTGCGCAACCAGAACGATACGATGCAGCAATCTCTAACGTCACGTGAAATGATTGTGCAGTCGGTTAAGAGATCGCCGGGATTTCCACAATTTTGTTTCAATACGACGATTCTGCTGCATAGGTGTGTAACCGTCCAAAACGACCGGTCGAGGTCGTTTTGGAAGGTTACATAGGTGCAACCGCACACTTTAAATTCTTTATGTAGAGCGCCCGTTTGAAAGCGATCGTCCTTGCGCACGTTATTTATTGAATTCTGTTCATCAAGCAAAGGTTTCAATTAGTAAGGATTAGGGAACAGTAAGCAGCACGCTCGTGGCCCAAACCTCACTTTTCCGGACCAAAGGTCAAACGGGAGGGAATCTACCCAAAGCTAAAAGACCAGTTGCCAATAATTGTGGACACTGAAATATTGTAATGTTAATTATGAGGAATGCAGATAAAAATGTACGAAATTCAAATCACCGCTCTCATTGCTTTTCTGGTTCACTTTCGCCTGGGTCGTTGGTTACCCATTTCCTCTTTTTCCACGCGTCTAGACTTTTGTGGGTTTCATTTTATTGCCCAACGCCTATTACCGAAGCCTAACAAAGCGTGCCGGGTTTTATGCTTTTCGGTGATTACCGGAAAACTAATAATGGTCTTGTGACGGTTCTCTAGTCGCTCCGATTTTTATTACTCAGTTGTCTAAGCTAACAAAACCCACGCGTCAATACTGACGAATGTACTTTGGAAAAAAGAGTGAACAAGACAGGAGAATCATCCAATGCTGTCACCTTACAAAAATTTAATATTATCGAAAATAACCAGAGCATCATCTAATGGAAGTTTCTCCTCATTGTTAATAATCCCGAACAACAAAACATCCAGCCGTAAATGTGATCTCAGTCTCCAAACGCCAGCGAAAGTTCTACAGTATTTTGTGTTTATAAAAAAGGAACAGAAAAAGCAAGAGTTGACGATCGGCCCGCACTCAGTCAACAGTGCTTGGGAGGCCGTTCACGAATCCTGATCAAAGGCAGAAACCGACTCATTCGTATAAGTTCATAAATTTTTGCAGGAAAAATAACCATTCTTTCCGCACGGGCATGCCAATCCAAACCCATACACGTCATGGCGTCCAAGCGCTCAGATTTCGCCGCCATTCTCGCCGATGAACTTGGCGGCCGCCATTTGCAGATCCTGCAGACGGCGCTCTTTGGCATACAACAGATACTGCAGCGCATTATCCACATTGATCGCTCCAACCATTTCTTCTTCGCAGCGGACCCGAAGATCATGCATATCGTACTTATCCGCAGCGTCGTACAAAACCGGCAAATCCGCAGCCGGCAGCTCCAACGGAGCGCATGTGTAGGCAAACTTGATGAGTGCTTCCAGGACTGAACCATCGATATCCTTTATATCGCACTGTCCCGACAATTTCTCCTTCATGTTATTTTCGAACATGGCAGCAAATACCGACGAATGGGCAGCCAATACGGCACGGTGAACGGCGAACTCTTTTCTATCACGGGAAACCAGTTTACAGTCGGCAAGGCGTCCATTCTCCAGGAGAGCACCGAAGCGTTTTACCAGAGGATGTTGATACGGCGGCATCGTATCCTTAGATCCGCCATCGGAAGTTTTCGGGTAAAACGCCAGTCTCCCACTAATAATGGTGCCAGGATTGACCACGTAATAGTATCCACTTGGAGGATCAGACTTTTGGCTAACAGAAATCGTCAAAGACCGACCCGACATACCGACTTCATTCACCGCCCAGCCTTTCCGATCGATAGTCACACTGTACGGTTCTCCGAATTGTCCACTGAAAGGAAATAAATGCGTGTAAGTTGTACGGTACAACTTGTACCACCTTCTAACCGTAGTTAATTTTACTACTAGTTTTTGGTACAAATAAGCAGTCAACCAGACTTTGCCCATCTTTTGGTTGGGATGAAAATTTCCCCCATCTTTTCCAGCCCATCCCATTTTTAAGATGAAATGGGGATGGGATGAGGACAAGCAGCGGATGGGCTGAGATGGGCTGAGAATGTTGAAAGATGGGATGGGATCAAGAAAAGCGATTTTTAAATAAAGTTTTAGAATTTTCATAATCTTTTTCGCTAAAAACTCTAGGAAATTTATCTTTTCAGCCGAAAAAATCAAAAAATTTCCGCGCTCCGCCCGGATTTTAAGCTATTTGCTGTTTAAGCTTCTAAATTCGCCTGGAATTTTTGCGTTGCGCGTTGATTTCTACGAGTTAGAACTTCGTTATTATTCTCACTTTACGTAATTTTGAACAATTTATAGTACTGAAAAGTTTTTAAAAAATGGGCTGAAAATGGGGCCTTAAAGCTGGACAGGGCTGGTGAACTAAGGTGGCTGGAGATGGGCTGGGCTGGGAGTTGCGTGCGACAGATGGGGATGAAATGGGGATGGGAAAAGTCGAAGATGGGCAAACTCTGCAGTCAACCAAATGATTACGCACCCTGCTCCGCTGATGGAACATTCAACACGCAGCGGCACTTTGCTGACAAGCAGCTGCTTGCTCAAAGCTGGTTCGATCTTGAAGGTGGCGGTGTTCCGGGACTCACTGGTCACGACTGTCACTTTCCAGGATGCCGCCTTCCCAGTCGGAATACCGAAATGTTTCAACTTCCTTCGCGTCAAGTTTTATAGTTGCGGTATACATCATTGCCCTTCCGAGACGCGTTCCTTCGAAGCGCTCCACTGGGATTTCGAAGAGCCACGCGGTAGTACGAAGACAAGTTACGGATTTCTGCGATCCTCCGTCAGTCATTCTTGGCGATGGACAAGCGAGGAAATCTTAGAATATTAAACGAATCTCAGAATGTGCTGCACCACTAAATACTGTCGCCGTCCGACGTCCGTACTAAGATGCTGTTTCACGAGAATGACGAGATGCTAACTACCACAAAAAAGCAAAAAGTACTGGAATGTTCAGGCTTCGACTTCGCGAATCACCACGTGCCGCAAGTTTAGACTTAAGGAGTCATACAGACTCATAATCGTTTGGCGCCATAGACGGCGGCACGCGAGAAAGTATCCGTTTTTATTGGGTTACACAAATGAAAATTGGTTAAACGTTAAATACGCTAAATCACACAGTACATTATTTCAGCACATAATAAACTTCCTCCAGTCTTCTCTCGATGCAGAAGGTTTCCTGAGCGCAAAAAGCATTACCGCGAGAAAGTGACTCGCATCTGGTACGATTCGTACCGTACGAGTACCGACTACTTCGAGTAGGACATGCATGTGACCAGTGAGTAGCAGAGGGGAAGCATTCGGTGCTGCTCGGTTGTAAACAGAACTGTTGGGTGCCGACAGCCGAACGAACCTGAAATTTCCAGCACATAATTATTTGCGACGTTGAGACCAGAAAACTCATAACTTTTCGCATAAAATCAGTCAGGATTACTTTAGCTATTGCTGTTTGCGTTTTGTTTTGTAGCATATTTTGAGATTATAGGATTTCGTAGCTTATTGACGGTTTTGTTCGTAAGCGGGAGAAATGGCTGACCTAATTCGTCTTCGCCCTACCGCGTGGCTCTTTACGATTCCAGTGGAGCACTTCGAAGGAACACGCCTCGGAAGAGCAATGATGATGTATACGGCTACTGTAGAAATGGATGCAAAAGAAACTGAGAGACATTACGGGATTGCGGCGGGGACGGCAGCGTCTTGGAGAGTAACAATCGTGACGAATGAGTCTCAGATCGCCTCTTTCAAGATTGACCCAGCTCTCAGCAAGCATCAGCTTGTCAGCAAAGTGCCCCTGCGCGTTGAAGGCTGCATCAGCGGAACAGGGTTCGTCGATCTGTTTATTTGTACGAAAGCTGAGAAAACTTTTTTATGGTTACGCGTTGTTGCAAGCATATGCTTTACAGTGAACAATTCGGAGAACCGTACATAGTGAATGTCGATCGGAATGGCTGGGAGGTGAAAAAGACGCTCACATCGACCCGTTCTCTGTCGATTCCTTTGGGCCACATGTCTGACGAGTATGAATACTATTACGCAATTAACCCAGGGACGATACTGTGTGTCAGACTGGCGTTTTATCCCAAAACTTCTGATGGCGGATCGAAGGACCCTGTGCCGGCGTATCAACATCCTCTGGTAAAACGCTTCGGCGCTTTACTGGAGAGTGGACGCTTAGCCGACTGCAAACTGATATCGCGCGATGGACAAGAGTTTGACGTCCATCGTGCCCTGCTGGCTGCCCATTCGTCGGTATTTGCTGCCATGTTCGAGAACAACATGAAGGAGAAATTGTCGGGACATTGCGAAATAAAGGATATCGATGGTCCGGTCTTGAAAGCGCTCATCAGGTTTGTCTACACATGCACTCTGCAGGAGCTGCCATCTGCTAGTCTACCGACATTGTACGACGCTGCGGACAAGTACGATATGGATGATCTGCGGGTGCGCTGCGAAGAAGGAATGGTTGCATCGGTCAACGTGGATAATGCACTGCAGTACCTGTTGTTCGCCAAGGATCGTGGTCTGCGGGATCTGAAATTGGCGGCTGCCAAGCTAATCGGCGAGTATGGCGACGAAATCTGAGCTCCTGGATGAGGTAATGTGGTTCCATAAATATACCGTATGCGTGACTGGCCGCAATCTTGATATCTGTCCAAGCATAACCAAAGTTTTTGACCCGTTTTTCTTATCTTTTCTTATCTTTGACAGAAAACTGTGGACGCCACGTCGCCACCTTCAAAGGCCAAATGCTGTCGAGTTGCTGGTTTTGTTTTAATGGTCGCAGTTTCTATGATTGTCTTATGTACGTAGATATGTACATATTCGTATTTACTAGCTCGCGTAGTTTTTTGCTCCCGATTAAGCTGGGGATCACGGACGGGATTGTTGCGGCAATTATGATGCGATACTTTAATTCGATGATATTCATGGCAGTAATTTTGTGAGGCGTACATTATGCACATATTTTACTAGTAATTCTCTTTTCGAGGTGTATCTCACAACGATAGAGTTTTGTTGTACTTGCAAAAACAATGACAATCACAACGGTTTATAATGACGATGAAGAATTGCTACTGAAACAATACCTTTTATTCTTACTCACAGTACCATTGCTTTTCCAGTGTCGCCGCGATTTGAATCGTCCTTTTATAACTAAATTAACCAGACAGCAAACCGTTTAACGCAGAAAAATTCTGCATGGTCGCGGCATACTCGTACTGTAATAACACACCGTGTAGGCGTGTACAGTAATAATATCTATATAGTATATACTGTCCTAGAGACACATCCATACTACATTAGTTTATTTCAGTAATAACATCCATACATACTGCATTAGTTTAATCGATAATTTATTGATGCTGGGAATGGGTATTGGCTGCCGGCTGGTGGCACTGGCAGCTTCTGATGATGGTTAGCAATGCCACATTAAAGGTCGGATACGTGCTGAAAACTACAGCAGAAATCTGAGAACGGGAAGGCGCGAATCTACAGGTACCACGAACGAAAAGCTTTTTGGTACAGGAAGTAAAGTATAACGAGAAACAGCACAGAATGATCTTGACAGTTTTTTACAGAAATGACAGCACTAGCAAGTAGCAGCCACCGACAACGTAAGAATTTATACTGTAGAAAACAACACAAGCATGGTTTGCACGGCCACAAGTTAATGCAGTCTGTTTCCAACGATTTGTCCATCATTTCTCGGTATTGTCGCCTATCTGCATTTAATAATTAAACACAAAACAAAACGCGGCATTAAATTTACCGTGGCAGTGTCGCTAGCGTCTATCTGTACACAGCGAAAACCCTCCGTGCTTGGCCTCCACAAATCGGATCTGACTAAAAAAATGAGACGAACAGAGGCTATATACGTATGCAAGTGGTTACAGGCCATGTAAGGATAACTCGATTTTAATCAACACAGTTAAGGTGCACTCGATATATTTCATTCGGTAATAGGGCAAATTTTGATGTGAAATATATAAAATATACCAAGGACAAGGAGCCTGTAATAAACAGAGCAAAAACAAGAGAAAATAGTATGTTGTAGTAAGGCAAGTTGTAGTGTTGTAGTGAAAACAGCATGTTCGTTATTCGGCAAATGCAAGTGCACATATCACATATGCTTGCGCAGATTTACACTTATTACTGTAAAATGTGTAAATTTTAAACATTGCACAACACCTAAAATCGCTGACGTCATTTGTGATCTTCTGACGTGCATTCACTGCGCCCAAGACAACTGCCGCGTTTCCTCTTCCTATTACTACATTTAAACGATACCGTAAACAGGCCGTTCAGCGAGGCTCTCCTGTAGCATCACGGATCCTCCAGCCAACGTATGCAGTAATAATTATCCGGGGTTGTTAATAAGCCGTGTGAGGTCGAAATGGCCATTGCGAATACGGTCGAAACCGACCGAGTCCGTAGGCCCAGAATCTGGACGCGTTGGGACGCCAGACGCTGCGCGAACGGACTGGGTCAAGTCCGGTTGTGGACAGTGAAGGCCTGTACAATGCCTCAACGGTTCCTTAAATAATCCGGCCGTTAAGGCACCACATGTCTTTGGTTGTCCATGTTCATGCACATATTTTCCGGTATTTCCGGCTGCCGGAAACAGCATGATATTGTGTAACGCTCATCTTCGGCGAGCCTGGGTCACTTCATTAATGTCATCGCGGCGAGCATTAATGTCATCTTCTGGCTTACGTGATTGATGTTTCTGAAAATGAGATAATTCAATCTTCGATTAGAAATTTTGGACAAGACCATTGACTCGGCTGTGTGTATGTGGAATTTCGGATGGTTCGGTGCATTTTCTTTTGTTCTCCAGAGGTGCGAGTAGCCGAGCTGGAAGTTTCCTGGTTTTTCTTCGGTTTCGTAATTGCAGTTCTTTGCTTTATACGATATTCTCATAACTCTTTTTTGTCTCTTCAATTCTCTTTCCAAACTGTAAGTTGGAATTTTCTTTAGAACCGTATACTTTAAATAAATCAGTAAAAATTAATAACGCAGTGGATAAGCGCCATTAGAACAGATATTTAACAGCTGCTGCTACCTAACAGCAGCAAACGCATGTGCAGCATCGTTAGACTTGTGTAACACGAGTAATTCACTAAACTGCCGCTCCATCAAATTACAACACAAAATCCCTCAAGATAAAAAGGAATAAAACAACAACCGCATTCGCCGCATGTATCAAAGACATTCAGTCGTTCAACCGTCGTCCAGCGCCCCAATTCCGGGGCCGGGGCACCGCGCCCGCATTATTATCATCGGCGGGGGCGTCTGCCCGTGGGCGCGCCGGTGGCGGCGCTCCAAATCCTCCCATGACCCGGGTGTTGGGGAACCAGCGGTACAGGAAGGACGGCGTCCCGATCAGACTGGGACCACCCATATCCTGCGGGTACTTGAAGGTCAGGAAGTAGTACAGGTGGCCGACGAGGATGCCCAGCAGATCAAACACTCCACTGTAAAAACAGAGAAATCATTAATATTACTGTACTATCGCACTTCTGTAGCCAACACCATTAAAGAAGGTATCCTAACTATCCTACCAGGCGATTGGAAAATTTTCTGGTTAATAATTTAGAAACTTGTACACTTTTGTGGTTTGATTATGAAATATTAACATAGTAATAACTTATTTTAAATATATGTTATTATAATAAAAGAGAAAACACGGGAGAAGGATACGTACCCAGCGCCCAGGATGAAGTTGAAGCCGAAGAGCACCCAGGGCAGGTACAGGGCCTTGAAGCGGGTGCCGAACCAGAAGTTGACGATCACGTCGCGGTTGAGCTGGCACCACACGTACAGGACACTCAGCACCATCGGATCCATCAGAAACTAATGAAACAATACTTAATTAATGCGAATAGAAGTACCAGTGCTCCGATGTCAAAAACTCATGCAAGTGAAAATTCTTATGTCTGCTGCTTTACGAAAGCTGCATATTCAATATTTAGTAGAAACGTAAATACCTTTCTGCCCGAAAAAAGGGCGAAACGATGGAGCCTCAAACAATAATCACATGTAAGATTCGAAATAAATAATGGATACTAATTATTGAATTATTAACAGTATATAAGAATAATAAATCAGTCAAAAATAGGAAAATCGCTTTGTAAAAATTAACCGCACCATTCAGAATCGCCGAAAAATAAGTGATTTTCATGGTTGTATCACTACAACTACAAGATATTGTAAGAATCCATTCGCCAATAAACGAGTACCGTATTTACAAATGTTAATCCGCGTTATTTCAAAAAATACACTTTCGTAATGACATGTAAGTACTCGTGACACAATAATTACGACAGTCATTTAATTTCCATGGTAAACAGACCGTAGACTGCATAGTGCATACCACAATCAACAAACAACGTGACAATTTTTTTCCATGGATAAATAAATCCTGGAAAAAAACACTTACCCCAAGATCAGCGAATAATCCGATCAAAACAAGGCACGCCCAGTTAAATATCAGCATAAACAGATAATCCGCTGGTCTTCCAACAAAGTGTCCTGGAACGTTTCAAAACAAAAACAATCAATAAAATGATTAAAATTCAATTACTGTAATATTTCAATAGCATTAATTTTGTGATCTGAGCCAATTGTTATTTGGCATACTGTATGCAGAAATGAAAGAACCTTCATTACCTGATTCTAACTGTGAAGAATAATTGTACAGAAAATACAAATTGAGGAGATAATGGAATCCCGTGCGCGGTGATATGGGGAAATAGAAGAGCGCCGTGATGGGTCGCCATAACTGCAATCAACGTCAGTTTTAGCAATTTCATATTCAACAATCAACGCCAGCGCAAACAAGCCTCATCTTTCAACGCAGTGGTTACCTGAAAGTGGCGGAAGGTAGCTGCGAAATCCAGGAATAAATACTGCGGATTGATCAGGCCAAAACGACCGAGCAGAGGCAGCACCACGGATCCCGTGAACCAGTATTTGGTCATCTGCGGGATACTGTGATACCACAGTGATAATTCGTTCGTCGCCATTCTGCAGAATCCCGATGGAAGAGGCAGGAGATTATAAACCGAACACTCCTAAGATTCTACTTGTTTTAATCACGATCAAAAGGATAAACTTCCATAAGAGTTTCCCATAAAAAACAGAAGTGGAACAGCGGAGAAAGAAAATTTCATGAAGAATCGCTGAATCAGAAAATGCAAAATAAATCGTGTTGGTTGGAGGAGCGAGCAGATGTACACGTGGACCAATCGCACCGGATCACAAGTCACGTAACCGTACGCCAGTATGACACCCCCGCGTTACAACTATTCCGAAGTCCCCCTGCGTCGTTACACATTTGATACAGGGAAACCATACCAAATCAGCCGAATAATTCTGCTCAGTTTTTACCAGAATTTTCCAGTCAGAAATTCCAAGTTACGTAGTATCTTTACGAATTAATCAAGAAAGATTTTTTAATATCCTGGTATTTCAAAGAAACAAACGTTATAATATTTGGGAATTACGCTTGTAAATTAGAATGTGTATCACCGGAAATGCAAGGTATAAACGCAGCTTCCGGAAACGATTTCCCTGTACGACTGCCCAGCCGTGCGAAATTTTCCCGATCGTGATAAATTTCCATCAAGCTGCTGAAAGTGCGTTTTTCACTTTTTGGCACTCTGAACGAGAATTTGTTCGGAGTTTTCTGACTGGTCGATTTCTATCGTTTGTCTTCCTATTGGAGTATTTTTTTTAAATTTTGCGGTAAAGTGCCCGTAGCAAAATCTGCGTTATAATCCGACGGACTAGTGACTAGTCGTTATGTAGGTCATAGGTGAGACAGTGCCTGTCTTTATTGCGAGTTGATGCCGAGCTGTGATCTGCGTGGACTTTTCTGCAACGATGAACAAACCGTCTCCCGATCAGTCGATCCCGGGCGCCGTGTCAAACTCCGGCGAGCCAAGTTTAAACGGATGGAGCGGCACCCACCAGGAGGGTCGTAGCGTTAATATGGATACGTTTTGTGCGCATGGATTGCCTCCGCAACTCAACGGAGGATGTAATCATAACGCAGGTACAGCAGTAAAAAAATTAAACGTTAATTTGTGGTTGAGTCGTTAAACTCCGGTTTGCGGTTGAGGGGAGCCGCGGTGCTATACAAAGAAGTACCGCTTGCGCTAAGTCATCATACCTGTATTTTAAATTGATGCCAAATTAGTTTATGTTTGCTCGAATTTCGAAAGATCGATCGTCAGTTTACGGATTATCTAGAAAATAATTTGCTACTACTATTTAATAAATTTTTCAAATAATTTAAAGTTTGCGCTAATCTAAATTCTAGGAAGTACCTTCGCCAAAATACAGTCTCATGAAGCGATATTGGAAATAATTAATTATGAATTATTGCATGAGCACCAGAGCATGTGAGATCAGCTGTTGGATGTTTATCAAAAACTGCCATTTATTTATTATAATTTTGTCGCTTTATCAGTTTTCAATTTTGTGGTTCTTATCTTTTACGCCAGCCGTCGTTTTCGCGATACGTACTCCACTAAACAGATTGCCATTTTAACGCAAACTCGCGCTCTGATAGACCATAAATGTGGCGTTTGAAATTTTATCTATATTTTTGCTGTGTATTACAAAAAGATAAAAATTAATATCATGTATAACTTTCGCTTCACGGTTATACTTTACCGAATTTCTTTGGGATACTTTTGCCGTATTGAATGGTGTTCGTTATTGTTCCTAAGCACACTCGACGAAATAATCGTTTAAATTAAAAATTAATTTAATTTAATATTAATCATTATAACGAAGCGCAGAGTGCTTCTTGTAAATTTAAATTGTAAATTGTAAATTTTCTTCTTGTAAATGAGTTGAAATTAAATCATTGTATCATTTTGGATAATTCTGTAAGCGATTAAATAATGCACTAGTATTTTCTAATTTAGCATACGCGGTTATACGGAAAAATTAACAGATTTTCGCACATTTGGGTAAATAAAACAGGCGTCAGATTTTAACACGGCCGACTGTAAATTTTCTTCCTTCACATGTTCCGGCCTTTATATATGCTGAAAAATTCATTTAAATGTTAATGCGCTGTATGAGAATCGTATTAGCATTTTTGTCCGGTGAGAATCCGCGTGTTGTTGTGCAGTGTATCGCACTGTATCCTGCGGTGCAGCGCGTTCATAATTAATCACGCTTCACAAAAAAATAAATAACCGCATTTAATTTTCCCACCGACAAACATCCGGTTGGAACACGAGTGTGCGATAACAATCAGCAACCCGTCTTCATAGATCACCCGCACCAATCAGCCACGAAAAATCACCGGTCAGGTGACAGAGTGACGACTGTTGCCGTTGAATGGCGCTTTTTTCTCTTACAAGTTAATTTACTCTCGGTCATTTCACCGCGAAGTGTCAGCGTAACAGCGCAAGACAAATATTTATGCAAATAATATATCCAGGCAAGGTTGCCGCATTGTTTTTTCGCTGAGACGTTTTTTTGCGCCGTTTTCCGTGTATACTCGAACACATCAGCCGACACTGATGAATCGGCAGTTTCTAGCAATTGATAACCTGTAATCTCTCTCTCAGTGTGTTGGCGGTTTCTGACGAGTCATGCTCGAGCACAAATTATCGGAAGCAATGAAAATTCAGTTCCGATCGAGGACACGCCATCCACCCGTATGATTTTCGCCGACGTCATGCTGAACGGTATGCAGTATAGTCGCTATAGTGCCATTGCGGCATGACGATGCTGTTGTACAATACAGTGTACAGCAAATGCATGATACGTGCGTGCGCTGTGTGAAAATATGCTGATATTTTCACTCTGATTGCACCGCAAATTTTCGGGCATTAATAGCGTACAGTGTACAGAGGTTTAATAAATTGTTATGCGGGGCAGTTTGTGTGATAAGAGATTACTGGGCCGTGATTGCAGTGCGCGTCCCTGATGGAGTGTGCGATCTGCGTTTGGACGGGAGGTCATTTTTGTATCGTATTTGTTGCGTGAACGCTGTCTAGTTATTGGGTCTGCCTGCTCGTCTATGGATGTATTATTTCCGATTTTAATTTTGCTTGGTTAATTTTATTGTCTGATATGGGTACGTGCGGCGTAATTAAGGAATTATTGTGGGAAGTTATTGTAGCAGAATTTTTTAAGCATCCCGAAGTTTATTTATTTGTGGTTATTCATAGTTTTGTACCGGTAATTTTTTACGTTTTTTTCCTCTGACAAAATCTCGCTAGGTTTTTTGACCCGTTGAAATTTTCGCGTCAATTTCTTCTTGATACTTTAATTGTTTTCTTCGTGATCGTTTATTATGGTGTTGTAAATTCGATTCGATATTTTTAGTCTACAGTGATTTATTTGTTTTCGTACCGGCTTTTTATCGATCTTGATCTTTCAGATTATTGATTTGTTGTTAGTGTTTTAAATTTTAATATTTTATCATGAATTATCGATTTAAAACCTTTTTATTCGTTTGATATAATATTTTTTAATAGATTTTGCCTTTATTTAGAAAGCGTGTTGACTGGGGCAGTCCAAAAAAGCGTTAGTTTTGAAGCCTTTTTCTTGGATTTATTCAGTAGTCATTAAGTTGGCAGTTGTCGCGCAACGCGCAATTAACGGCGGACTTGTTTGGCTTTGTCGTTTTAGCTTCCGGCAGTTTCGATTTATTTCTGAGATTCTTTAAAAAATATCTGCTAAGATGGTACTGGCAGGCGTGATGTTTTAATGTTTTTATGATAATCTGTTTTGAGTTTAAATTTCGACATAACTTAAATCGGATATTCCGACAGCTGTAAATAAGCATTGTTGAGTGTTGTCGGTTTCTTTCGAATTTTGTTTATGCAAGCAGAATTCTTGATCGGCGTGTAAACACGCGTAATCACGGTTTCAGGGAGTTGTTTTTTTTCACATGTAATGACGTTTGTCCGATCTTGTTACTCACTGATCTGGCTTCGATGTATTCATGTGTAAGATTTCCTGAGAAACTTCAAAGGATTCGTTTCTCACGCCAACAGATTGTTGCGAATTAATGTGCGCCTCGTGCGTAGATTGCGTCATTACTACGATCGGGTTAACTGGAATAATTTTCGGATTTTGTTTCCCAAAAAATATTTGCTGAATTCTTTTGCCATTTACTTTAGTTTTTAGCACAGTGTAATTTAATGAAAAAATCGTTTAATTCGTTAAAATTGCCAGCTCACCGTCAGCCTACAAAATATCCAGTTCGTCAAATTTTGAATAGAGTGTAAAAATTCTGTCATTGTACTTCGTGCACTGGAATAATTTTTCTGACTATTAATTCTCTGCTCAAAAATTGCGGAACTCGGATTGCATCATGCGTAACATTTAGCTAAAAATCAAGTGCGTAAAATTACAGGCTTAGGTTTAAAAAACGCTTGACCTCATTGCGAATGAGTTCTAAGGCAAATTTCTCAATGTGAAAAAAATAAATTGTGAAGATAAACCGATTTGTGAAAGATGCTGTAGTGCGCATTGGCATAATTTGAAGGAGAACAAATCGATGCTAGATAAATTTCAGTCATTTGATTTCGTAGAACTGTTGATGATGCGAATTCGTACGTAATTGTTAGGTCGGAAATGCGAGCGTTCCACGGACGTGGAGATGCCGGAGCTGGAATCGCCGGCCGCACCCCACGGCTGCTCCCAAGACTGTGTGGCCTGCCGCGACCTGAACCACACGGTGGAGCTGCCGCCCAACTTCGTGCCGCGGCGGATTCCCGTGCCGCCGGTGGTGCTGGTCGGTAGACTCCCCGACAACACCGTCAACAACTGGCCGCCCTTTGGATGCAAAGGTTGGTAGTCTGTGTTTGCAAATCTGTGCACTTGGACCGTGTCATGTTGGAACTGGGTGATGGGGTGTCAGTGTGCGCGATCGTAGTGTAGGGTATAAGGAACTCCTTGTAATCTGAGCTTATCTCCCAAAAATTTTATCACATAAGAAAGAATAATAATCGGGAGTACAATATACATTCCCTTCAAGTTTTTTGTGGACGGTTTTATGGTTGTGTTGTAAGATTTTTTATGGCTTGAGCCGAAACGTTTTGAACTTCTTATTGGGATTTTTTCGCGAATCAAGTCGTAATTTCTTTCATTAGTGTGTTTGTTTTGTTAGCTTTAAAATGAATGTTTGGGATATTTTTAAAACTTCCTGATCGGTTTAGTGTTCTGGATAATTAACTGGTTTTAAAGGAATTTGTTCTCTGATTTTGGTAGCGTTAAATAATGTTTATTGCAGTTTTATGCACACTGAAAAGTGCCTGAAAATTTTAAAAGTCCCTGATAAAAAAACATTAGGACCAAAAATACTTGGTTTTTGTAATTTTAAATTATTTTGATTAATTTTAATTTAGGTAATAGTAATTTTAAAAATAACAGTTGAATAAAAAATAATAATCTAAATTAATTATTCAGTTTTTACACGATTTCGTTGCTCGTGAAAACTGGTTGGCTGGTTACTGTGCAAACGTCCCTGAGTGGCTGCGTCTGGGGGTGTGTTCCGCTTCTGCATTGGCAAATCTCTCGCGGCGCATGACTAACCCCTTGGCCAGTATCCAACTGACAGTGAATTGCAGTGCAGCAGTTCGGTAACAGTGGTGCCTCCCGCTGCATAGGTCGCGGCCTGCCCCGCCCGCCCTGCACCGGGCCCATCTGCTTCCGGCGCCGCGAACAGGCCGTCGGGACCGTCGTCAGCGAGCAGCCCCTCCCCCCGCCCAACACCCTGCACTGCAAGAACGTCCAGTATCCCGTGGATGCCTTTCTCGTCATGAACGAGCTGCGGAAGGCCGCCGGTGGCTCCCTCTGCGATGTCCGGCTCCAAGCCGGATTGCAAGTCTTCCCCGCCCACCGCGTCGTGCTGGCCGCCAGCTCCAACTACTTCCGCGCCATGTTCACCACCGGGATGAAGGAGGAGAAGGAGGAGCTGGTCAAGTTGGAGAATATTTGTCCGCGGATTCTCGGGAAACTGATTGATTTCTGCTATACGTCGGAGATTACCGTGGGGGAGAGGTGGATCTGTAAGATCCTGCCGGCGGCGGTCATGCTCCAAATGCCGCATGTAAGTGGCTGTTTTGGGTAAAATTCCAAATTCGAATTTGCGGGTGTGAATTAAAAATATTTTGCATTTGTAACTTTATGGCTTTTTCAGAAGGCTGTATTGATGTGACTGCTGATTGTTAATGGAATATTGACCGTAGTAAACAAACATATAATTGTTATTATATTATCACATTTCAAAATTTATATTATCGTATTAAATTATTTCAAAAAATATTTACGGTGATTTTGGTTTTCACGATGCAGCCTAGTTACATGTTTGCAACTTTGCATTGGCGCATAAATGAGATGAATCAGGCATCAGCCGTTGTACTACGAAGTCTCGAGAGAATTATGGGCTGGTACGGATCAGACTGATTGGTATTTCAAGATTATTTCGAAAAAGGTTTACGGTTTTTATTAGGCAGTTATATTTGAACATTTTTCAGATTTAGGGGCTGTTTATTTTTTGCTAATTTTGCGCGAAATTAGATCCATTCAAGCACTTGCTTGCTTTCGCTTTTTTAATTATTTCGAAATATTATGTTTTGGTCGATGATCGCTCTGCCGTTGGGTTGCAGCATTTTATTTTAATCTTTTGAAAAATGTTAGAAAAAAATTCACAAATTTTTTTTTTATTTTGTACTGAGATTGCAAGCCGAGGCTAGTGTTAAAGTTGCAGGTACATACTGCTTTGGTGAACCTTCAGTATGTTAAAAAATCTCGCAGTGTGTATACAGTCGCGAATGTTATACGTGACAGACACATCCGTTCAGATAATTTAATTTTTTGTTATTGTAGTTTTATAGAATTATGTTTAAGGTGATTGATTGCTGCACGCACTTTCTGGAGACACATTTGGATCCGTACAACGCCATCGGCATCGCGGAATTCGCCCATCAACACGGCTGTGATGCGCTGACACGGACAGCGCGGGAGTTTATCGACAAGAACTTCAGCGAAGTCAGCCAGAATGAGGAATTCCTCCAGTTGTCCGTGTGCCAGCTGATTAATCTGATCAAGCGCGACGAACTGGTCGTCCATTCCGAATCGGAGGTGAGCCGGCGAATTTTTGAGATTTTTCAGCATTTGTTATGCACATATTCAGGGAAATTGCTGCAGTTGAAATTGCTGTGATTTTCGAATTTGCCTTCAATTTTTGGAGGCGGTTTATTTAATCATGTATTTTGATAAAATTATGAACGTAATGGGAAAAACCTAGTGGAATGGCACTTATCTATCCCCCAGTTGGTGATTAATATTGCAATTTCAGTGCAACCTGCTAATTATGAAGGTGTGTTTCAGAACAGCTGAAGTAAGAATAGAAATTATTTAAATATTTAAAAATTGTCTGTGATTGAATTTTTTAGATCATCTCCAGAATTAGCTACTGAAATTCGGTACAGTTTCCTTAATTGTTTTCGTATATTATTAAATATTACTAAAGAAAGAATTCTTTTTCTACATTTTTTGTATAATTACCTGGAATGTTTACGTGCAAATGGGATAAAAGCGTTTTGCGGCTTTTAAACGAAAATGAATATTTCATGTCAAATTGTATCGATTTTCCCGGCAAACTCCAGCGCAGCCGGCTGCGTCGGATGATGCTGCATTTCTCCAGTGAGACAAGAGAGATAAGTTTCCGCTCCTGGGAGTATTGGCGTAATACGACGCTGAGCGTGAGTCGGCAGTAATCGGAACTCGCTGGATATCGCGTTGAATATTAAAAGGAAAATACATTTACCAGTAATAATAATATCGGCGATGGTTACGCCGTACTGATTAGCGCGCACAGAGTGATCTCAGCATAATTCTCTACAATGCCGGGCGCGGAATGCGCGTGTCTCGGGGGAAATGTAGACGGATCTGCCGCGGGCTGATCGGCCTGTCATTTTTAATAAATTGTCAGCCGCGCGTTGCGAGCTTTTCTTGGTGGGCACGCGTGCTGATCCGCACCTCGTGTTTCTTTCGGCGAAACGACAAAATACACGGTCGGGGCCGTTCACGTGAGGGCCGCGGAAAGCTTTCTTGGACAATGATGATTATTCAGTGAGAAGGAAATTAATTAACGGACCGCTGGTTTCTGCTGATTAATGGCGCGTCAGCAGTAAAATTATGCGGACGCGGTGTCTGATGACTGTGTGAGTTTTTCTGAATGGGGCGTTGTGATGCAAATTTGCAAGTTCGAAGTGCCGGTTTTGTATGCAGTGCAACGAGTTCGAAGTTTTCTGCAGGCAATTGGAGCTGTGATCCCTAACGAAATTCGTATTTAAAGAGAGTTGATATTAGCTGAATATATTAATAATATTTAACCGTATTAATAAAGAAATAATACGAAAACTGATATGGAAATAATGTAAAAATTTTTGAATTCGAGCGAGAGTTCGTATAGGTATTTGTGTTATTAATGCGTCAAATATATTTATAACGATTGAGACCATGCAGCTGACGCCGCTGTACTACGAACTCAACCACAATGTGACCAAATGCTGACCACACCGATGCTGAGTAGAAAAATTAATATTTAAGGATAGATTCAGATTGTCAAGTTTAAATGTCATTTAATTATTTGTTAATTATGTTTAATTTATGTGCAAGATAAGGCGGTTTTATTTAACAGAGTGCCGCTTAGGAATAACAAAAAATAAAAAAGAAATAATAAAAATAGATTTTTTGCTGATAAGTAGTCATCAGACAAAAAGCAGATTGAATACGAATATGAGCCGGGTTATTATATATGAAGTATTTTGTCTATCAGGTGTACGATGCGGTAATGCGATGGATTCGTTACGATGAGAAACACCGGCGTCCCAATCTGGAAAAGATTGTGTACGCGGTGCGCTGTTATTTCCTGCCGCCCAGTTTCCTGGAACAGCAGTTGCGCTCCTGTGATATGCTGCGTAGTTTTCCCAACTGTCGGCAGTATCTGGAGAAAATCGTTAAGGAGCTGACGGAGCACAAGAAGTGCCACATGCCCAAACGCCGCAATCCCGACCTGCCCATGGTCATCTACGTGGTCGGCGGCTACCTGCGCTATTCGCTCAACCGTCTGGACTCCTTCTGTCCCAAATCGCAGGTGTGGCGGGGATTGTGCAATATGCCCACCTTCCGCAGTGGCGTCAGTAAGTTGGCCAATCTTTTTTATTATTGCATGAGCCCGTGCGGAAATTCAAAATCAGCATTCATATTTTTTTTCGATTTATTTCCTTACTTTCATCAAGGTATATATCTTGCTTTCGTCAAGGCTTTGCGTATTGTTTTGGAATTTTTCAACAGTGTTGTTTTTGGGCTCATAACTATTTTTAAATCGGCTTTAAATTCCGGAACATTTTGAGGATAATCTGAGCTGTTTTTATATTTCTGCGTTTCAATGTTTTTCAGCATTGCGGTCTTTTAAGATCTGCTTTATGCGTACAAAACGTAGTATGATGGCAGATACCTTGGGTGATCCTGGCTGCTCATTATGTACAACTGCATCATATTGTTCAACAAGTTAATCTAACAGCTTGATTTAGAAAATCTTTTTTCCTTAAATTGAATTTCGGTATCTCATTTTAATATTTACAGGTATAAGAAACGTTTGCAGTAATTTTAATTATCCTTTTGTTATTGTTATTCGCGGAAATTTTTTAGTATTTTTCAACAGTGAAATTCTTTCTGGGATTCCGGAAATTTTTTCTTAGTATACTTAAAAATAGTTAAAATACGTTGTCGATACACTATAAAAACGTGCTAAAATAAAATCAGCCGTGATCTTTAGTTGAAAAAAAATTATATTATTTAGGAGTTGGTGCTTTTTCTCTAATTATTTCTTGCTTGTCATTATTGGCAGCGGCTGTCACGAGAAGCAGGTATCTCCGGGGCAGTATAAATAACGGTTAATTTTAACTGGAAAACAGTCAGCCGTACCTGTAAGCTGTTTGTTGCATGACAGCGTCATTTCTGCGGAATGCGCTAAACATGTTTTCCTTTGCGTGGCTACAGGTTCGGCCTTCGTACACGGTCTGTTGTACGTAATGGGTGGGCGGTGCACGCTGCCGGAGGGTAACTCCGACTCCAACGCGGTGGACGCGTACGATCCCTTCGCCGACGCCTGGCGCTCCTGTCCGCCCATGTCGGTGGCGCGGAATCGCGGCGGGGCCATTAATCTGGATAATATGCTGTACGTGGTCGGGGGATCCATGCAGACCACCTTCCATCGGTCGGGCGAAAGGTGAGCTTATAAATGTCGTCCGAAGTTATTTGTAATTAAATATTTATTTTTTGGGATTTCGGTTTATTATTTCTGTAATTTTGTTACATTTCGTTGAGTTATCTGATTGTTGCTGTTATTGTAAAACTATTGCTAAATGTCCATAGAAAAGGTAGCCGATGATTTCCTAACGATTTTGGCGATTGGTGGGATTGTATTTCAAAAAAGTTGTCAGGCTTCTTTTTTGCAAGATTTTCTTATAATTTTAATTGCATTTGGTAGGATTCTCTCACGCTGAATTTTTGCCACTACTCTACAATCGTAAGCGTAAATTAACCAGTATTCTTGCGCTGGTTGATTTGTGTAGCAGCAGTTCATTAGATTATTATAAATTCCCAGACGTATGAAAATAATTTTCATTAGACGGAAATCATTTTCTGCGTGTAAAATTTTTATATTTCTATGGAATTCCTAATTGTCCTTGGTCCGATTTTGTTTTTCAGAAAGATAATGTTTGCCGTCTGACGCAAACTTTTTCATGGTAATTTCCTGGCGATTTTTGCCTTTGAGAAATTTTTATTTATTGAAAAGTGTTTGTCTTATGCAAATAATTACCTTTCGCTTGAGAGGTTTTCCGCCTGGTTGTTTGCATTTGTTGGCACTGATTAGCACGGGTAGTTTCCGCGTATCCCCGCTGTTTTATCAGATTGTATTGACAGCGGTCGACGATAGCACTTGTGAATCGCGATGGCGGGAAATCGCCGCGAGTTCACAGGTTATTATTGTTCTCAGCGTTTCTTGTCGTGTGATATCTAGTGCGATGTGACGTTTGGCAGCCGAGTGTGTTGTTGGTGCTGAATCAGCGTTTTTGCGTTGATCGGCAGGTATAATCCGCTGGACGATACCTGGTCGCCCATTGCCGATATGTTCCGGATGCGGCTGGGATTGGGTGTGGCCAGTCTGAATCGGCTGTTGTACGCGGTGGGCGGATTTGACGGAGCGGAACGGTTGTCCTGCGTGGAGTGCTATGATCCCGATACGAATATGTGGAAGTTTGTTGCGCCCATGAATACGCAGCGCAGCGGCGCAGGTTGGTCACCGATTTTGTCAGTTTATCATCTGTTTCTTTGATGCAAATTGTGATTGCTGTTTACTGACTGTGATTCGTAACAATAAAATTTTATAAGTACTGTAGTTTATTTAACTGAAGAATTTAATTTAAGAAAATTTGATTTTATTTAATAAAAGAATATCTTTTTATTTTATGAAGAAAATTTTGAGCGAAAAATTTAGTTTTACGAAACGTTGCGAGTAGGCGTCGATATCGAACGCGGAAAATGTATTTCAAGATGCCCGTTACACCGTCCCTGCATTAAGAGTTGAGCCGCTGTACTACAAAATTTCACCTTCATTCTATGCGAATTCCAATTTTCCACTCAGAGCGCAAGTATCAGTATATATTTATTTTTTGGAGGAAGAAATTATTCATGCCGATTTAGCTAGGGTATTAAAAAATTTTGCAGTTTCAAGCGCTGTTTACTTATACTTGATTATTGTGCAAACGTTGATGCAATTATAAAAATACAATTAAAATATTTGAAAATGAAAACATGTCCCAAGCTTTTGTACATATCAGCAAGTTAGCAATATGGTCATGTAAAAGGCGCATTACCAATTTCTAGACTACATTGTTTTCATTAAATTAAAGTTATCTTTTTTATTTTAAATGTGTAATAAGCTTCGATTTCGTGAAGGCCTGTTGTTCTGTTATGCTGTGGACAAAACAGTATTCATGAAAAAAAGTTTTCCACTTTTCCACTAGTTTTGTTTCAGTAATTTTCCCGACTGCAATTGCGTTCCGTAGTTTGCGCCAATATGGTTATTCATTTATTTGCCTGTTTATAATTACTTACTTATCGCTGTTTATTAGTTTGTATAATTTTTTCTCTATTTATTATTATCTAATTTTATCTTTGTTTATTTTATCATTCATTTATATATTTATCTATCTGTTTTTGCATGTCGCTGTTAATAAATTAATTGTTTATTTATCTGTTAATTAATTTCGCTGTTTATTAATTTATCTACATTTTTTACCTGTATATTGATACCGCTTATTTATTACGTAAGTTGTTTATTTTGTATACCTGTATAATCGTTGTGATTTCTGTGTGGCTGTATTGATGTAATTTGTGGCTGATTGTGTAGGCGTGGCCAGTATGGACGGGTCCATCTACGCCGTGGGCGGCTACGACGGCCGCAACCAGCTGGCCAGCGTGGAGCGCTACGACCCCGAGACGGACCGCTGGGAGTTCGTTGCCCCGATGCGCGTGGCCCGCAGCGCCTTAGCCGTCGTCTCGTTAGACCGGAGACTGTACGCCATCGGGGGATACGACGGCCAGGAGTTCTCCACCGCCGTGGAGAGCTTCGACCTGGAGACGGGCGAGTGGCGCACCGAGACGCCGCTGCCGGAGGGGCGCAGCGGCCACGGGGCGGCGGTGTGGTGGGGCAGTTGTTGCTACGAGAACGCCGAGTGTGTGGGCTAAATGAAAAAGGGGCGGGGCGAAGGATGGTGCTCAAGGGGGGAGGATTCCAGGAGGACGTTGATGGTTGTGGTGGATCTCAGATGAAAAATGGAAAAACAGATGCTTAGTGCTTTCGCAGAGAGATTTAGAGGATTATTTTGCTGGTTTGTTGTAATTGGATCGGTTGGTCTGATTTTTATGCGCGGAGGTTGTGCGCGATTTTTTTTCCATAATGGAAACGATTTGAGCGTGTTGTTTTTAAGTCCCGGGTTGCTTTTTTTTGTCAGTGCGATGGTTTGATTGCTTTCAGGTTTTTATGGCGTTTTTTCCTGTAGTATACACGGATTAATTTCAGAGAGAGATATATATTTTGTAAACGAATTGGTATTTGGCTGTGTTAACTTTCGTTGAATAAAATGCGAGAAAATTACCTCACAGATGTGACGGTTGTCGCGATATGCCAATATTTTGGGTTTTGGGACATTTTTTAATAACTGTTTTTTTGAAATTATTTTGTTAGAAAATTCAGTAATAAATTTTTTCCACGAATTTCCTCTTACATTTTTCGCTGCGACTGTGAATTACCGAACGGAAGCGCCGGTTGGTAATTCCTTATTTATGAATGAGGGTTTGATTACGTATATTGAATTTTATTCTTTTTTTATGTGAAATGAAAGGCTCTCTGTTATGTGTGCCGCAAGACAGCAATGGGTAAACGAACTGCAAAAGCACTGTAATCTAAAACGTTTTTATGATCTGCAATATTTTTACTTATACATATTTTCATAATGTGTTTCTACATATACTCGTATTTTTTTTAGCTCTTCAGTTTTTTAGAAACCTTTTATAAACTAATTTAATTATTACTTCCGGTGCCGGCGAAAGCCAGTACCCGTAGCTTTGATGCAGAGTATTTTTGAAGCATTCTGAAAGTTTACTCCTAGAACCACCTTTTTACAACCTCTGGCTCCTAATACCACCTCTTGCCCACCACTTTGACTCCGCATACCATCGTTTAATTGTTTAAAATTTTAAGAAGTGGAACTTTGTGACATCAGGAAACGAGATCAAAACCTTTCTGTGTACCAGCTGGAAAAAGATTGTAAGTCGAAGGCATTTACGAGTATCGCTATACTACCGACGCTATGGAAATAACAGTACGAACACAAACCGGAAGTCCTTTTTCTCCCTGCAACCTACAACGCTGCGAACATCCGATAATGGATACTGGAGTGTTCGGAACAGACAGAACCCTTAACTTTAAAAGCTAGACGAACCGGAAAAATAAAAATTCAGCATTATAGGAAACACAGAGCGTCAGTTTGTTTTGGACGTGGCTGCACATGCAAACCATTCGGATGCCCTAGATATCACTATCATTTCATAATAATGCAATTGGGAAAACAATCAAAAGTTTTGTATGTGGAGTTAACAGTGGTGTACAAAAGGTGGTACTAGGAGCCAAAGGTGGTTAAAGGTGGCATGCGGAGCCTTCACCAGTAAGCTATTCCATTTTTTATCTGTCCTAAACTCAATCTCAGGTTGGCAGCTAATAAATTTGACATTTACGAAAGCAACGGGTCACGGGAGCGTTCTTCCTTCTACTCTCGGGTTTGGGTAATTTGGTGCATAAACCTTTGTGTCCGTCTGAAACAGACTCGGTTTAAGCGCTGTAAGACAACTCTTTAACAAGCGTTGGATTTCAGTTAAAACGAAGGAAACAAATATCGAAGAGATACGTCGACGATTCTTCGTGGCATTTTTTCGCTGTTTTGTACATCATATGTCGGGGGAAGGGGAGGGCTATGTAGAATAGCGGTTATGTAGAATAGGAAGGGGAGGGCTATGTACAGTATGTAGAATAGCCATTTCTGCCGTCGGGCATCGCGCAACAGCGGTGCTTTCTGCTCAAGGATCAACTGTATTGGCTCTGTACACGACAGTCGCTGGGCATGAATTCATTAGTTTATGCTACCATATCGATGGCTTTCCTGACTTACAAAATTACCAGTTTGCTACTGTTAGCAACATGAACCTTTCAGTCGCTAATCTGTCCATCACTGTTTCCGTCTCTGCTGGGAACACCACTTATGCCAGTGCCAGGCTGGACATTAAAACCATCGCTCTTATTGTCACTGTCGGTGTCATTTGCGCTGTTACTATGGCCTACAATCTGCTCTTTATCGTCGCATTTATAGTATCGCGCCGTCCGGACGCCCTTCACCTATTACCTTCTCAATATTTCCCTCTGTGATCTCGGATTAGCGGTCTTTAGTACTGTATAACAGGTTTCATCTGGTTGGCAGCGTTCCCTTTGTCGGGTGCTGCGTACTGTCCGTATTACCTTTTCTTCAACGAGCTCTTCTTAGCTGGGACTTGTTATACGGTGCTGCCGGTCAGTCTGGACCGGCTACTGTCGTTATTTGCCCCTGTATACCACGAAAATTACCGATCTCGGCGGTGGACATCCATATGCTGTGTGCTGCACGCTTTCGGTAAAACCGTAAAAGTGCATTGATTCCGTTATTTTTCATCTGGTTACTGTGCCATTTACCAAAATTCGACGTTTCGCAGAAAATTTACCAATATGGCCTTGCTCTTCTGACAGCGACCATCGCGCATACGTTTTTTGCAGTACATAATGCTTTTGCAAGAAAATATCCCCCGCATCTAAAGCGCATTGTTAATTTTCGCTAAGTGACTATCCTTTTTCCAAAAAAACGTCCATGTAGCGAGTAGACATTCACCTTATTGTTGCTTCCGCAGCGGTAGTTCCGCTTCTTACGTTTTGTTTAGAAAAATTTGAAAAAGAAGACGTAATGCATAGCTTCTCTCATTTAACATCGAAGGATTTTTTTGCCGCATGACTGCAAACGGAACTCAATTAAGGTTGAGATACACTTCTCCAAGTACATAATATACATGCATAGAATGTATGTAATTATGCATGGATTTTGATGCTACTTGGTTACTCGTCAATAACGTCTGTGTAAGAAAAACATCTTAAGCAGGAATCTCAGTAAATTACCCCAAAAATGCAATAAGTATTGCGATTTTAGCATAAGCAAGGTCGCCATTCACTGTAGTTGTCTTTATGGTCATCCCAGAAGGATTAGTCTAATCAAAGCTAGCAAAACCAATTTTGTACTGCAAAACATGGCGTCGTCAGATTCCTTGAGGTAGTTAACTTCAAATAAGATATGAAATCCAGGAACTGTTTTCGTACTATCTACATTACGGGTAATTCCTTGAAAAGCGCATCCGGCTGTAGGAAGAGACACTGCGACGGATAACTCTTATTATCCTGCCTCTTCGGCCTACGATAATCATGGTATGGACGTATACGCTGGGATTCGCAGTCGCATCTTTGCCGGGAAATCTTCCTAGGAATCTATCTTGAGCCAGCGCCCTAACGGTCCACAAGAAAAAATTCCAGTACTTTAAAACCAACGTGCTGTTGCATGTTAATGGAAGCCCATCTCGCATTTGCTAAATAAGTTACTGCAGCCGCTGCTTAAACATTTTCTAATTCGTTTTCTGGTTGTACTGTAAGTTATACCTGACGTTGTATATGGCGTGTCTGACAGTCAGCATTGCAGCTAGCCTAACTGTCTTTATTAAATCCTCCTTTTGCAGTACCGTCTCCAGACCAGTTTTAGATTTCCAAGGTTTACGTGTTATTCCTAATATCGACAGCTTGTCGTTTCCTGCCTCTGTCCGGGCTTATGCAAAAACACCCACGATCAGTATTACTAGTACTGTACTCTCGACTCACGATGTCTCCGTTTTGTATGGTCTTTCCAGGCAACACTATAGGGACTCACGTAATTCAATGAGTTCGGTCTTTTAGGCCTAATGAACCGTCTGAACAGCTCGAACCCTTCTTTGGGTACTCCAGTAATCGCAATCAGACGGTTCTTTGGAAAGCCAGACTTATTCTTTTTCTTAAAGTCCCAAATTTGATTTTTGTTTTGATTTAAATTTTAATTAGTTTTCTGAACTCGTTTCGACATTGCGAAATAAAATTCATTATTGTCGTCGTGGAACGGATTTAAGAACTGAAGTTTAAACTGTGATATCTGACGAAAAAAAACTGAACCGTTACTGTTCAACGCGCTCGAAAACCGATCGTTAGCCGTTACATTGACGAGTATTACAGTCAATCACGCTCATTGGTGGATTTATGTTCACCTGATTCAGCGAATTTTTTGAACCGCGTACAGTGCTTGACTGGCTATACTTTACAAAACCGGGACATATTGAGCCGAGAGTACAGTACGTAAATCCTAAGTTGAAGTGCTTATTCACTGCTTAAGTTGGCTTACGTTAAGCACTCAGTGTTTAAGTTGGCACTGGCAAAATTTGTTGCCATAGGTCAAGGTCAAACAAAACACCGTAAATTCATTAAAAACAGTAAAACGATATCTCGATTTAACTGAGAGCATAAAGAACAAGCGCAGTGTGGTATCGAGTTCCTTAATTAAGAAGGTGGTCAAATTTCGCGCGAAGCCAACGGTGGCGCTTTCTGCAAGAACAGTTAAGAAATTCACCAAAAACAGTAAACGATAATGCGACCTAATTGCAAAACAAGGTAATGGCAAACACAGCGAGGTAACGGACGGTCTGGTCTATCTTCACGAGAAAGAAACGTTGGGGTTTACTTAAGAAAAGCTGCGTCCTCTCGCAGAGCAGCGTTTTACTGCTGATGTTGACGGGTAAGGGTGCCTGAAAGACATCCACACAGACACTTGCAATAACGTGTGTAATAGTGCACTGACGGTGAGTGTGAAATGTCCAGTTGATTCCTATATTATGGGCATCTGAGAGCCAAACTTCAGCAGAAGTTGACTTCACCATAAAGAAAAAATGAAAAGGTCGCCTTCGCTTAATACTGCTTTGCGATAGCGATAGGTTCAAGATGCATTGATTCAGGCGTAACTGCGTCATTGAAATCTAATAACTTACTAACCGTGCTGTGATTATTTGCAAAATTCGAGAATCGGATTTTAGTTGTTTTGTAGCTGTCCAGCACAAATTTTGAAAACAACAACCGCATGAATGTACAGTTTTCTTTTGCCGCCGCTTGGGGAATTCTCGCGATCCTTGAGTTCGCAAAGTCAAGACTCTGAACACTGTGCGTCGAGTGAGCGACAGCATGATTCGCTTAACAGCAAACCGTGGAAGGTTGCCAATCTACGCGCAACCTCACCGTCAACCGTGGAAGGGTGCCCTGATTGACAGCGGCAAAGTTAAACGTGGATTGCCAGCCTTCCGCGGTTACCGTTAAGTCAACTGTGCAGTCGCACGAGTGTTGACTTTGGTTTTCAAAGGGTCTTTACTTGGCGAACGCGCTACCGATGTTTGCCCCATCCTCGTACGTACGTATCTACAGGGTGGATGCATATTAGGCTGACGATCTGCATGACTGGTCGTTAAAATTACGGATATGGAGGAGATGCGCAGCCTCACCGAATTACACATTATTGGATATCGGTTCAAGTGCTGTTTTTCGACTTTACGGAGTAATTACTTATTGTTGTATACAAGCAACGCTTTCTATTACAACAGCTCTATGCAATCAGCAGATGCATCATGCAACCTGCTGTAGTTGTGCAAACTGGAAGTTGTTCCAACATGACGTTTGGTATTGATCTTTGCCGTTACGTTACGGTTGCTGACTGTGCTTTTTCGGCAAGATCCAGCGATGTCACAGCATTCCGTTCATGGGTGATGTGATCAATATGAACCCGCGCCCTTAATAGAACAATACAGACATACAACAGTTGACATGCGCTTGCTGCCGAGTTATTTTATCCAGTTAAAGGGAACACTCTTATCGCTCTTTGCCAAGCACAAACCCAGTGCCAAACAGCGACAACTTGTTGTAGAATAACATCCACAAAAGCGGTTCCAGGTATATCTGTGCGTACACTGCTATATCGATAACATTCATATCCACATGGAAGCAGATTGTGGGGAACACTATCGTTTATGCAATCACCTTGCCAATGGATATTTGGCTAATCACGAGCTGCATGATGTTATTACGGTCAGTGTTAACGAGAATCCCCCATATAGCTACGAATCGCCGCCAGGGTCATTGTGTTTTTGCGGTTTTGCCATTACTCTCTTGAAGGATTTAGCGTCTGAAATCGGTCCGAGGTAATGCAGTTGCTTTAGGGACGCCTTGTTATGGCGTCTTTACAAACACTGATGCGGTTTGCTTAATTGTTGGCTGACCTGTAAACGCAATACATTTTGTCGGTTAGGCTATTCCTGATTCCTGATCGAAACCGACCAGAATTTAACACATCTGAATTCGGTGCACCCGTCGAGGTGGCACAGGGACGTGCCGATATTAGTGTGTGTCCGCTCACTTTGAGCCCGTTGCGTATTTTGGAATACGATGTCATTCCCATGTACTTAATGCGTAAATACCATGTTGCAGTGCACAAGTTCCATATTGTACATAGTGATGCGGCCTCTATTCTGGAAGGTTTGGCCCGCATTTTCTCTCTGTCTGCCTGGATTGAAATCGGGGTGATATCCATGATATTCGTGATCACGCTCTCCGGGATTAAGTTTCTAACCAATCGTACTAAACGCAGCTCTTCATTCTGCTGCCAGATGTTGATGTCCTGGAGTGAGGCGCTGTATGATCTTTTCTGTGTTACCCGTGGTGGAGGTACCAACTATCGTTTTTATTGATTTATACTTCTCTCATTTTCCAGATGCATTTTGCGACTGCTTCGATTCACGCATTTTATATTTAATTCTGCGTTTCCAGATTTCCACTTGACCGGGACCGCTGTTCTGACCTACCGCATTCTACAGCTGATTTACGTGCCATGGAATATGTTCATGTTTGCTATCATAGCAACATCATTAACCGCAGCACTTAGCGTCAGCACCTGGACGTTTCCCTTTCGTAGCGCGGAAGAACTGTTTCATTCGGATTTCAGGTTGCTCGGTCGCGAACCATTAACATCTAACAGATCCTCCGAAAGTATCATTGCGGCAAAATGGAAAGACAAGACTTTTGTTGTACCATCCTCCCTACCCGATTCCGTCTTGATAAACCGTGCTGTCAACACTTCTCAGCCTCTTTCTGTGCTGTGTGCATTTTATGAGATTCCACTTTGCGCCAACAGCGGACTCGTTCCGGTGTTTCCATGGGACGTCTCGCGCTGGGTGTCAATAATTCAGAGCAGGAAAAATCAGCCGTTTATGAAAGGGATGAAGCAGAAGTAGGGATTAATAATTAAAAATTTCACGGTTTAAATTGTTGCTTTTTGCAGTTTCAAATTAAGTATGCTACTTCTAGTTGTTGATGAGGTATCCATAAGATTCACTTTTATAAACTTGCACCTCAATCTGCAATTTACATAATAAATTACTTTCCGAGTTTATGACAAGGCTATTATGGGACACGTAGATCTGCAATTTTTTGTCGCTTTCACACCAAAGACTTATCGCCGCTCAAAAAAATTAAACAAAATTGAAAATGCTATACGGTGTCAGCGTATAGTTTACTAACGTAACAGGCGGGATTTTTACTTGAATCTGCAGTAATTTTCAGGATGTTCATGCTGCAACAAACCGGAATTCCAAAGCATCTTATTGAAATTCACAAGATTGTCACTTACAAGAACAAAATCAATGCGCATTCGGAGAGTTTTGCGCGGACACCGGTACGCAGCGTCACTGTCGAACGTCCTTTGACGATGCAGAAGCTGGAAAAGATTTGGACAGTGTTTTTCCTGTGGATTTCTCTGGCTATAGCAAAATTTTTGTTGGAAATTTGCTTAAAATACAGTTTCCAGTCCTTCAAAACAAACCTGCCGATAACACTGCAATAATTTTCCATTTTGGTCATGATTATCACTTCCGTTAATTTCTTACCGTATGTGCTATCGATACCGTACAATACTCAAAGTGTAGATCTTCAGATTAACCCAGGAAAGCCGGTAACAGAAGAATACGAATTTCATTACTGGAAATGTGGAGCCTCGAATTAAATAAAGAACTCAATTAAGAACAACCGAATTTTTAAGATTTTTGTGACTAGGTCAAAAAGGGCAATAGAAAACCATGTTGAAGTGTAATGGAAACCATGTTGCACCGACATGTTGCAAGGCCTTTCATAAAAACTCACAGCAAATTTCTCGGAAATAATTATGATCTTTTAAGAACGGTAGTGGTTCTTTTAGCTCTTGCAGGTTTCTTGGGTTTTACCTAAGAAACCTGGAAACGACGCGGAAGGCAAGAACTGCGAAACCTCTCGAGTAAGCGCTGCTTCGGGTCGTGGAGAAACATTTGTCCAGTTCTTTTAGGCAGTCTCAACAGGAAAGCTATAGTGAAACGCTGGAATGTCTGCATATTCCTAAATCCTGGGATGCGCGCCGATTGCCCATAAAGATTTTATACAAAACAGGATTAATGATCGTCATTGCCATTTCTGCTAAGTTAAGCTATTGTGTGCAGTTTTGATGTGCAGGATGTAGCTGGAACGCATCAAGAAATTAATCGGTAGAGAATGGCGCGGATATCTCTAATTCAATGCAACGTTAGTAATAATTATACAACGAAATTTACGCTCCTTTAGTCACGTAGCGGCCTCCCTAAGTAACTGACAGTCAAATCATGTCATTTCCCTACATTCGCCATCCAAGTTTCTGGATTTTTACAGCCGTCTGAAACCTTGCTATGGATGTACAAGTTTTTTAATTCTATCTTAATAAACACTGGGTGGATTAACATGCCCTTTAAAAAATGATCATGACAACATGTAACTGCAACAAATTTCAAACGCAGATTAAGGTCCTCCGACAAGAAAAACTGGCAATGCTATTCCTTTCACAATGCTATTCCTTTCGCAAAACCGGCAATGCTAATGTTGCAATTCATTTGCCTACTGCTCTTGCCGCGTTCCGAATCAGCTCCTTTTTGCCAGATACGGCTCAGTAACGAACTCGAATTACTTTGACACTAACTTGGATCCAGCTATAACTCACACATGATTCAAGCCAGTTATGGTACATCCAAGTTATCAACTCATTGTATATCCTGGTCTATTGTTAAGTCGGAAAATTTGCATTGTTTCCCTAAAAATCTGGAATAAATCCCTTTCCGGTGATCGGATCATGCTTCCACACGGCAATGTTTTATTTTTATAGTTCTGTTGCTGTAGTTAGTATTGCTGTTAGACGGCTTTGAACCCAAACCCTTGCACATTTTCCGTAGCATTTCGATTCTATATGTTCCATCATAATTCATGCTACAACTGCCGTAATATCTTACCCTTTGTAACCTTATTGTTTTTTTTCTATTGCTGCAAAGAGCCAAGAAAACATTACAATACGTTCTTTCTAGTGTGATTATGTTCTGATGCAGTTATATTATTTGTACCTAAAATAATTGCACAAGGTAGCCTGGCACTTTCGCGCTTGGCATATTCGTATCGCAAAGACGCTACTTTCGAAACTCGAAAGAGAATAAAAGAGCGCTTTAAGCTTTAAGAAGACTAATCCGATTCAGGGTACCAAATGCGGTTACATGCCTAAAAATGTTCAGCTTCGAGCAATCGAAAACGCGGTTTTGCACCATTTGTTTGCATTCTATTGCCAAATGAATTGTTTACAGTGGTCTGAAAACCGATTAACATAAATATTATATCAGCATGACATCTGGTTAATGGTTACTACTACGGCATTAAAAATGATCGATACGTGCACTCTTATAGATCAAGTACAAGTACACGGCTCTGTAGGGAGTGTGTGCCCTGATGAGTGTTCATAACAGCTTTATTCCGCACCATATTATTCAAGAAGAAGGCGCACGAAGCAGCGATACTGTTAGACGGAGCTGACCAGTAATTATCCAGTATCAAGCGGAAATTAAATCCATCTCGTATAACCCAGGTTCTGACGTAACAATCACCTACCGGTTATTATGATGTAGACAGTATTTTTCCCCAGCAAAAACTGTTGCTTTTGGACTGATCACTTTTAGTCGGTTGCGAAAACAATCGCCACTAAGTAATAATTATTATTTAAGGACGAATCCAGAACACTTCGGCAGCGGCGCTAGTAATGCTTCGCGTAGCCCTTTAAAGACGAATGCAAAGAACAGCGGATCCAGGAGGGATTGCAGATTGAACAAAAACGATAATACTCCGTATAAGACCGGCTCATCCACCTGCATGAAACTGGCCACGGTAAAGAAAGCGACATTCGGCACCCAACACACACATAAACTGACGGTTAACAGCGTCGTTATAAAAAACGCGCGTCGCTGATCATCCGACAAGGCTTTCTTCCGCAAGCCCGACGACCCCGTTGACCGATTCTGCGCAGAGTTCGAATGAGTCGGCCAAGCGCGACGCGGCTTTGTCGCGTTAATGCCTAACGGCACCGCGACGATGAATTTTACCCGGCGTTTGAGTTTGTGTTTAATTAGAAGATACGGATAGGCGACAATGACGAAAACGATGGGCAAATCATAGGCCACAAACTGCATCATCAGATTCCATTCGAACTGCGCCGCTACGTTAACCAGACACGGGTTGTCAGAAAGCGGTGCCCGAAAGTACAGGGAATCGCGAATAACGCCCGGTAAACAGATCACGTGCACGTATATCCAGAGAGCGACGACGGTGGCAAAGGCGGCGCGTAGGCTGTGGTGATTGCGGTAGGAGACCGGAAAGGTCACGGCCCACAGCCTGTTGACAGTGATGAGGGCGTGCGAGTTAATGGTCACCGCCCCGAGGATCAGCAACGCGTAGATGTATACATTGCAGCCGGCGAAGCTCAATGGCCAGGTTGGGTAGAGGGCGCTGATCACGTCCAGCGGATTGCAGAGGATGGAATAAACCAGATTGGCGAATAACAAACTCCCGAGGTACACGTTGAAGGGAATGTGCAGAGATTTGTTGGTGAGGAATATAAATAACACGTAACCGTTAAGAATGATCGCCAGTGGTGTGATAATTGCGGTACTTGTTGGACCTAATGTCCACGCGGGGGACGACGACGAAATATTTGAGGCGTTATTGGACAATTCCGTATTATTCATTGTTATAACGTATAAGTAAATGTTACGTAAATATTTTCATCATGTTATTATCTGATAACGGCAGTGTCGATTTGCTGTTCCACCTATAAGAAAACGTAATACCATCATCCTCATAAGCAGAAAGAGGGAAATGCCAAGTCAACAAGCGGAAAGAGAAATCGGCCACAATGAAAGAGATTAAGCTAGGAACACCTGTTAGGTCGCGGCTCGGAAGTAATTAAACCGGAAGCCGGGTGCGTTGTTATTTAAATTTCAAGGGACAAGCTAAAGCAGCGTATACCGAGCGCCAAGGAACACGTCGTGCTGGTATTGGCCAACGTCATCTGTGGCTTGTTAAACCGGTACCAAGATGGATTACCGTGTCTGAACCCCGCAAAGTGTGGGATAAGCGGATTGTCCCGGTTATAAGAAGCTTGATTGATAGGTTGTTCAGGCAGGTAATAAATATACTCTACAAGGAATTACAGATGGAAAGGAAGAATATTTCTAGTCAGCTGGCTATTACTTGATTGGGTCGGGATCAATGGCGTTCCCTTATTAAATATTCATTATTCGTGATTTCCTGTACTTTCATTATGAGGTCGGTCGGAGCAGCCACTTCGGTCGAAGCGTGCATAAGATCTAGTTTCGGATATTTTTTTAATTTTGACGGTAATGCGATCGGATGTTTTGATGTTTCAAGTGTAGAGCATATGACCGCGGGAGTTCTCTTGTTATTGTTAGTAAATATTCCGGTTTATTGGCAATTATCGGGAAAACAAGTAGTGCGCACAATTTTGCCATCCAGTTAACAGCGGTAACTCATTAGATAGCATTGAATTATGCCTGTTAAAAGTATTGTCCTTAAAGTTGTACACATACCGTAGATGCTTTGTGGAAATGTTTTTACGTTTATGACATAACGGTTTTTGGTGCTTTTTCGATGTTCAAAATTTCATAATTTTAATAGGTGTAAACCTGTGAATACATATCGATCTGTACTGGCTAATGCCGAATAAAAAGCATTTTTATAATAATTATATTACAATATAACCGTCCCTGCAGGCTGTGCTTGTATGATACATACACGATACATGATACATGTGCGTTGTACCGTTCAGCTTTTGTGCTTGTTATTATTGCGAGTATCTTGCAGAAGAAGACAACTGTTGTACTTCACGTAATAAATTTTATCGATTTTGCATGAAGAAGATTTAGTGCCATAACGAACCAGTGTACAGTCCTAAGTGGAAAATTTTACCCAGGCAAAATTTATCCAATCTTGCACACGGTTATTGCCGTACAAGATCATGCGTAAAAGGCGTAGAGCTTGTTTCGCGCATTTTGAGTGTTTCTTAAGAATAGTTTTCGATTATTCTTTAAAATATTAATAATTTATCATTTTATCAGGCTAACGATATCCAAAGTACGTTTGTTCGTCACAAGTCGGAATGACTCGGCATGCTAGTCTTGCTCTCACGTAACAACTACTGGCATTGTCGTACATAAAAGTATCTTTCTTGCTAGGCCATAATAATGTACTCTGTAGTTGTTTTTGTTGTGTAACATACAGCTGTTGCCAAATAAGTGCCAACATATGGGCTTAATACACATTACACAGCTTTCTGATCGATGATAAATGTGAAAATGTGATTAATCTGCTTGTGTTATAGCAAAATTAAAAAAATTTTAAATGCCCCACAGGCTTTAAAGCAACCTCAAAATCTTCAGCGTGGAGGAACAGCGTATAAAACGACTAAAAGTCTTTGTATATTGTAAACGCGGAAGCCGGCAAACCATATCGGTACTTTTTGAAGAACAGCTTTTGCTTAGTTTTACAATGAACGCAATTTCACTAGTATTAGTCGCAATTGTGACCGCCGCGGTGAGCAGGAAACTCTAAATATAAACGTTCCAAACCGTTTCCACAAAGCTGCTTATTTTAGGCGGCACAGGAGCCGGGCAGCCCTACGACCTCCATCGCAGCCTGGAAAGATGGCGCAAATATTAAGGTGCGAGCGAAAATTCCGCACGGTCTATCGTTGGTGATCAGCTGCCCGCAACCCAATCCTGCCTCGCCTACCGCCAAAAACATGCCGGTACAGACCGTCCACCTAGATAGCGCCACCTACTTGGCGCCGACTGACGGACCGGCAGAGTGCAGCGGAGATAGCGTCTTCTCGCAAATGGCGGTGACGTGCAGTATGCAGAAAGACACCAAGTGTACCATCACAGCGGAGGACCCATCGGAGCAGGAGGGATGTCAGGAACGTTGGCTGAAAGTCATCTATCACTGCGGCAATATCGGAGGTACGGTCCCGAAAGTGTGAAGAATGCACACAGATTTTTTCTGAACAATTTAATTCACTTTCAGCATACATTTTAAACATTCGCCTGCTCCCACATTATTTACCTATGATATTGTGGGTGAAGCGTAGCGCGATTGCATTAATGTTTAACGGTTTAGTGAAAGAGGGTTTGTTGTGGATATTCGAAAAACTTGTTTCGAAATCTGGATGGATAAACGAATAATTTGGTTGAGGGAGTTTAATTCCAGTGCTTTCTTTATAGAGTCGACTGCTTCCTTGCTCGGTATGATCGTTAACAATATGCTCGATGACTGAGAACGAGCGCGAAGAGCGGGATAAAGATTAAAGATGGGTTGCTGCCGGTGTTTACAGTGAGGATTGTGATGTTCTTTTTTCTTGTGACGTACAGACGTAGTACGTGTAAGCCGGGTCACTATAATGGCCGTTAAGTTGGATTTTCGTCCTGCATGTGTACTTACCATTTCCTGAGGATCATAATATTGATAATAAGCATTTTCACATTAGCAGCATTTCATCGATAAAATTATAAAAAAGGTCACAACTGCTTTATGGTGAATAATATAGGTAATAAGTACATTACATGCATACTCAACGGAAATGTGGTTTCTCTCGTATTTTGCTGACGAACGCGATATGCATTATCGTTTACTTTTCGATGAATCGTTAGGGTTTCTATATTTTGTGCGCATATGCATAGCACGGGATTCCTTTGTTCTTGCGCATCTTACTAGAATAGTTCGCACTGATTAGCGGATCGATTTCCATTTACCGAATTAGTAGTGCAATGCGATACACCGGTTTACAATGCAAGTTGAAAATAGATTTATTAATGAACACACTCCCTAACAACAATATTTAGCAGCCCAGTATCCAGTGGTGGTATTTCGAGGAAAATCCTTTACGTCTGACTGCGACGGAAGCGGAAGTCATTAGCACCCATACCAGCGCGCGATGGGAAACCCTATAGCGAAAAGTGAGAAGGTCATATAAACATTAAGACCCAGCTACAAAAAGCGTGTAATCACAGCCGCCAACATTAATTGCCAGCACGCTGCGTTTATGTCACCACCATAGCAAAAGCGAGAAGTTTCGTTAAATAACAAAAAAATGGTAAACAACACAACAATTCCGACATTTGCACCGGCCAAGGTCTCTCCAGCTGCATTAACATTATGGCTATCCACAACACTGGTTATCGGAGCGGTTGGTGTGGCGTTGATTTTATTTCTGCTAACGGTGCTTTTTGTACTGGGCAAACACCGCACCGGTTCGGGATTCTTGTTAATCCATTCGCAAATCGTGGAGTTAATGTTCTGCCTTGTGATCAATCCACTGCACAACATCCCGCTTTACATGGTTCAGATGGGCGTGCGGCCGCTGGTCTTCGATTGTAACACGGCGCAACTGGTCCGTACCACTGTTCTTTTCGTCAGCAATTGGTCGGCGGTTTTCTTGGGAATTAACCGTTTCGTGGCGATCTGGTTTCCGCATCGATACCAATTTATCACCGCAAAGGCTGCGCTGGTGTTGTCGGTGACCTTAACTTGGGCTATCGCGCTAGCATGCAGTCTGCCGATTTATTTCAATACCATCACCACGGGCGGGATGCAGGCTACTGGGAACTGTGGACCTGTGAAGATTCCGCGGGCCGTCTCGGAGCTGTTGGGGATTATTAGCACGTATGTTCCGGTGGCTTTCCTGGGACTGATGTATATGGTGCTATTTATTAAGCAGCAGTGCTCAGCTGGAAGAAAAGTTGTTAGTTTGAATGGTACTGGGCGGCAGGAGTGGAAAAGAGCACGAAAGAGGTTGGTGGTTGCCAAGATTTTGTGTTGCTCATTTGTCTGGTACTGTATCTGCATGCTACCGCCCCCGGTATTGCTGAATTTTTTCCCTCGATTATGGGCGACGGAGATACGGATTATTTTGTGGACACGGACACTGTTGGTGATGGGTTATGCCCTGAATCCAGTAAGGATAAACAAATAATATTGTATAAAACACGACAATTTTGTACTGCAGTTTTTAAGTTCTTTTACCGCTTTTTGTTTTATTGTCGTACTTATAAATGTCAAAAAATTGTAATATTATAAATAAATAAAATATAAAAAATAAAAAATATAGTAATAATAATGTCACTAAAAAAAATTTGGTATTCGGTTTTTTATAATTTTAATTTAAGAAATTTTACGAATATTTTTTTCTTCTGTTGCAGTTGTTTTTCTTCGCGATGAGTAAAGAATACCGTGCCAGTATCAGAACGGTGCTGCGACGCATGGGTGTGTTATCCCGGGGAAAAACCGCCAAGCCAGAACAAATTGGCCTGGATTCCGTAAACAGGAGTGAACGCCGTCTGAACTGCTCGGTAGAGACGTCTAATGATGGCAAGCTCGGTAGGACGCGGACCTGGTCAGCTCATCAATCAAGAACACGGACTAATACAACTAATTTGCACTAAAAATACGAAGACATATGCGTAAAACGCCCAACAGTAAAGCCTTTGAAAGGGCACCGTTTCTGTGTTCAAACAGTGACGTATTGTTTGAGTTTGAGCCTGATGTCGTTAGATGCTGTAATCAAGCATCTAAGGAGTATGTCCTGTGGAATATGACTGCTGGTACAAAACAGTAATATACTACTGTATACGTAGATATGTCGAAACATCACGTTTAGCACAATAACTCTTATTTTGTTTCGGCAAAGAAGAAATGGATCCAATCGGTAGAGTTAACATTACCTGCTATCGAAAAGGTGCTGTTATGAGACGTTAGAGATAAGAGCCGCTCCATAATCAGAAACGTTCTATTGTAACTGTTTAGATACTTATTTCGTAATAAGGTATAGAAACTGATAAGTTATCATCGCTGAAACAGCTTTTCAAGACGTCAAGCGGCTTTCACTTATTACGGTTATTGCGCTCCCTCATATGTACTGCGCTTCGCATGCTTGGAAAGCTCGTATCAGCTCGTATCAGTCGTCATTATTTTACAGTTACTGCAAAATCAGCTTGGTTTTAGCGACTTTATCCTTATTCGGTCAATGTCCGCGTGTTCTCTGCATCTGCCACCTTTGTTCCAGACATTCCTCTTTAAATAATATTAAACTGCAATTACACTGACGTCATGGCAGATGTGGTTCCAGCGGAAATATTTGGTGAACGTTGCCAGTATGAATACGGTAATGCTGACTACATTGGTCGTGGCATGTTTGGCGCCGTGTACAAGGCGCATGTGGTGAACCGCCTAGATTTTAGCGGAGACGAAATTGTGGCAGTAAAGGTGATACACTTACACCAAAATTCACAACTTTCAAACAACCCGCAGAAATGGCAGCGGGTCCGCAGCCGGCTGCAGCTGCTTCTCACCCTCAAGCACAACAACCTGGTTCCTTACCATAAAGTGACGATTACCGGAGCAACGGGAAATTGTCGAATTAATGATGGATTTCTATGGAGGTACTTAGTTGGCATGATTTATAAATTGTTGTTATGTTCATGCATTTGTCGGTTTTGTGCATGGATTTAGACGAGGGGTACCGATTCGAGTAAGCTAGACTACAGAGTATGTATACGGGAAAAAGCGGTACTTGGAGCATGTGTAGAAGTATGTATACTACACACACTATACACACCACATGTATACGAACTAGTCTCGTGTTGCGCATGCGTGCAGTACAGTGAGTACACACGTCGTAAGAGCTCTTTTCTCGTAATACGACATGTCTCTACAACCGATCGCTTTTACATTAGACTCTACTCGTACATGTAGAATCGTAGATTAACCGGTCATCCATGCATTTGAATTCCCTAAAGTTAAGATTTTCGAAGGAAAATTGTTTAATACAGACACCGCTTTCCGTTTATATTCTCTGTACGAAACGCAAAGAACAATCTAACACTGAAACAATCTTTAGGAAAAAGCTTTGGACCAGTTGCCGATAGGCCCTTTGTAGAAGCTGCGATCGGCAGTTCATTATGTCGCAGAACGGAATATCAATACTTGCGATTTGCGTATTAATAATGTAAAAAATTAAAGGCAAAGCGGTGAGTATGGCATGCAAAACTGCGATTTGCGTATTAATAATGTAAAAAATTAAAGGCAAAGCGGTGAGTATGGCATGCAAAACGTTAATCTTCTAATGTTTTTCTCAGGAAATTCCAGTATTTGGGCTTTGGGAAATGGCTGTCCCAAATATGTACTCGCAACCGTAGTGTATAGCTGTACCTATGTCCTAACGCGGAAAGTTTTAAGTATTCATACTTAAGTATAGATGTGAGAGAAGCAGAACAGAATATTAAAAAGAGCTTATATATGGCTGTTGAATTTATAGGTGGCGATTTAGCTATGTTTCTTCAGCAGCTAAAAGACAATGGTGGACTGCTGGAGCAAGGAAATGTCATACGCTTTGCACAACAAATAACCTGCGGATTACACTTTCTTCATCAGCAGAACATCATTCACGGAGACATTAAGCCAGGAAATATCCTGATAAAAAATTCAGAAAAACATCAGGAGATCGTGCAGATTGGGGACCTGGACGATCTAATTCAAATGCACCGAGACGCAACTTGTTACCAAGATATAACACAGCTACGCGGAACTTCCCGCTACATGTCGCCGGAGATGCTGAGACGCTTCGCCGAGATTCCTGGGGAGATTCCCGGGCGTAAAACGGACATGTGGAGTCTGGGTTGTGTTATTCTGGAGCTAGCCAACAGTGCGCTGGGTTTGCCGGGGAAACTGGTGCAATACTCCAGCGAGGTCGGTGCTGTGAATGATGTTGTTCCAGTGTCCAAATTGATCACCGTAATGTTAAACGGCGCAAGGCCGTTTATTGATGAACATATTCCGTCTCTTCCGGCTTCATGTGCGAGGCGCTGTTTGGTGCGTTCAGCACGCACCGTATCGGGGCTGATGAGTTGCTGCTGCAGCTCTTGAACCCAGAGGAAGGAGTATTCATTAATGAGACCATTACAGATACTGCGTTGATTCGTATCGACAGCCCTGGCTTTGCTGTACATATTAGTTGGAGAGGTACCGACGGTTCAACGGCTCCAGTGTACGGAATGAATTTGTCGTTACGGTACAACTGTTGAATACTGCGACGATGTCACTACGCACCAGGCCGCTTCCCACCGCTTTGCAGGACAAACAACTGTGCTACTTTAGTGAGTATCTTACGGGACTAGGAAGCCAACTCATCTTCCAGTATGTGCGCTCTGATGGAATGATCGAAACTATCGCGTGGAATGTATCCAGACAAACTTGGCGAACACTGGTCTGGAATACTACCGAACAAACGTGCAGCGTAGTAAATCCTCACAATGGAGGCCCCGCGTGATTTTTCGGTGTCCTGTCGGCATGGGGAACGTGGTGTATTTCTAGGCGAAGAATAACGGACTGGCTATGATGGATACTTCCGATGGCAGTGTGCTAGTCATCTCAAACACCCTCATTTACCGAACAGTAAGTGCTTAGCAAGGAGACAATGAGAATTCTTGAAAAATTACCGATATATTCCTTTGTAAAAACTTAGTTTTAGCTCTCCTATAAGAGGCATAGACATATACGTCATGCGTTATGCGGACGTATACGTTATGCGGTAAACTATGCAAAAAGGGCTTTGACTAATTTGGAAAGAAGTCGTTTTGTGCGGTGTACGCCATAACATGGGACGAAGTCGCCGTACTATCGCAGGATGTAACATTAATTTTACTGTAATAGTTTTATTGGCGCTGTCTTTTTTCAGGATACGATCTATTTCCGCTGGAATACCAATAAAAGATAAAATATTGTATTTGGTATCTACATCTGATTCTACATATTTTTTATCAGCTCCGTCACTAAGCCTTATCTGCTTCAGTACGGTGACGGATGATTGGGAAAATTTTGGAAAATTAGCGGGCGCTGATCGCAGAACGAATTTCGCCATGGTGGAGCTGCAAGAAAAAATCTACGTGCTAGGTGGCTTATTGGAGGATGGGAAAGCCGTAACGGGATCCTGTCTAAGATTTAATATAGCGACGCGTTCTTGGACATCTATAGGAGCGCTTCTAGGGAAACGGTACAATCACTGTGCATTCGTGACCAATGAGTTCATACAAGTATTTGGTGGGAAAAGCTCCGTGGAAGACGAATCATCTGTGGGAAATCTATTGGGTGGTAAATGGCGGAGCGATCATGCACCACTGCCAATGGAAAGTTATGACGCGGAAAAAAATGTGTGGAAGGAAGTTGGGTTTGTTAGGTGATTTTGCATTCCCTGCAGTAGACAATTTCAAGCTCAAGTTGAGCGTAACATATTGTCGCAATTTTATGGCTCAGTGCACAATTTTACACGGGCGAGGTATCGCACTGGATTTGGGCTCCTTGCACGGTGGTCGACGACGAGCGATGACTGTGTGGAGTCACTGTGGACGGGCGCTGGTTCTAGCTATGATAAAAATAAAATCATCAATTTATTGTTGTTGATTTTTAAATATCGTATTGACTGGCCATCTAATAAAATGAGGGCAAAAACTTATGTTGTCAGTAAAAGGTGCCAGAAACAGAGGGAATGCGGCGTCCATGCCATCGTTGTGACCACCGCATCGGTTTATGTTTTGCCAAATCGAGCAGAGAAACCCGAGCCGAGCAGAGAAACCCGAGCCGAGCCGAGATAAGCAAAAGTTTTAATAGCAGTAGCGGTAAAGTGGCGTACCAAAAAACAAGTCGCGAAGCCGGTTGATAACTCAGTTTTTCTGATTATGTAAGAAGAAACAATGGCGGATGTTACGGTTACCGAAATTATGATTTAATACCAGAAATTCAGTAGCCATCGTCCTAGTTCTAAAATGGGATTTATTGTCTTTGTGCTACGAGGCGGTGACTTTTGTAGCAATGGGCAGTGGAACAGTAAGACACTTGGTAAAATTCAGGTATAAACCATAACATGATGGAATATATGTACTCCGCCTTTTTCATCATTTCAGTCACTTCCGCTGTATAAATCAACATTTCAATTACCCAACCAAACTGACAGCATCCGTCGCGAGGTTATTACACTTAGCAAAAACCGTTGAGGGCTTGATGTATAGCTACTCGTTAAAGTCAGACATTGCTGATTCCCCGTTAAGATTTTCGGCAGTCTCAGTAAACATTTCTTCGGGCACCGTTAGTTTTTAAGTGGTTAGCGGCTGTTCTGAAGGGCGATGGCTGAAATGCTGTATGTATAATTATCAGAGTATATCTTGGGATCGTATGTATTTATACAGCTATCTCCCAAGCAATTATATGTACACAATTAATATGATGTCACATCGTGTAATAAAATTGTTATCATCATTTTAGTGTTTGCTTTGTAGTAGTGGGAGTTTGCAGTGCACCAACCAGCGTTTCGGTACAACTCAGTACAACACAAGCAGCTGATTTTTAAAGCATAATTACCATCATCACAAAAGCCGGCAGGATGTCTTTTTAATATACGGGCATCTTAAGTAAGCGCCTGCGCGATTCTGAATTTACACCATCAGCTACAATGGAGTCGCACGCACCGGGAGATACGTATTATCGTGCAACCGCTACATTGGCCACAATAAATTTATTTATTGGATCAATCGTCTTACTTGCAGCAGGTCTGCCTCAAGGTAGGCTTCCTTTTCTTTTCAACACTATTTTACAAGACGCACAATATGTTTTGTCGTGTTTATCTACAGTACTGACCGAACAAAGCCACATCGTTTACACGCCAATAGTCCTGGGAGCTTGGCTTATCGTCTCTAGTCTTATTGGTGTTTTTGGGTTGTGCTGCAACCACCAAAGTTGCCCCGGTACTTTAGCCCCCTCCTTCGGCAGCCGCCGTAATGCTGGTCGATGGTTTGTACACACGTACATCGCATTCACAGTCATGAGCATCTTTCTGGCGGTTGGCGCTGTTATATGTACATGGTGCTGTCGCTTTGGCGCTGTCCGAAACGTCTAGCATTATTGGCGGTAATCTGGCAATTGCCTTTGGAATATTTTCTGATATTTTTGAAATTTCTGTTATCATCCATGCGGTCAGGATTATCCGTCCAATGACTGCGCCTGGTATAACGCCAATGGGATCTGCCCCGTGCGCGCCTCAAAGCGTACTTCTACTGATCAGCGGTTATCATCCACCGGCTACGGGGCAGTCTATGCTGACAGAAATGTTGTCTCCAAACATTTATCCGTATATGCACATGCACAAGATCAGATCACCACGGACAACGAGCAGCTCTCGGAGGTCCTTCGCGATCGTGGCACTGTTCCACAAGTTACCGGATTTTTCAGCATGATCACAACTGCTAGCGCCCTCCCGGAAAAAGTGAGATCGTAGCGTGTTGCGTTGATATGACTCCACATATCAACGGAGCACGTTAGTATGTCCGCTCTCGCATTGGCCTGTCGAGCATCTATCCGCTCTGTGAGTGGCCACGTTTCACCCAACCGTATTTGCGCAAAACCACTAGGCGTGATCATAAGAAAGACGCTAATTGGCTCAATATTAACCAATTGGGAAATTAATAGCCAAATGGCACGGCATTTTAAAAGCAGCAAATGCCAAACAGTTCTTGCAAAATTGTTTATTAATAAAAACAATTAAAATTTGTTGGAGTTTTTGTTGCGACCCAGTTTTCTTTTTTAACTTAATTGTCCATTTGGTGTTGGTGGTTTATGTGGACTGTTTTTTTTTAAAATTTTTTCATCCGTAAAGGAATACGGCGCAGATTGGACAAGCCTGTGCGGAGCTCCGCTGACGGAATAGCACCTTAAACCAGCATCGACTCATAAACCATCTACTCTGTGGTTGTTTCTAAAACAAAAAAGTCAAAATTACAGTGATAAACGCAGTCAACTTACCTTTGAGGCGCTGTTTGAAGAAAAGCAGCTACAAGGAGCTCCTGTATGTTGAGTCGTTGTAGTCCCAGTTACCTGTCCATTCAGACATTTAGAAGACGCCATCGCACAGTTCTTACTACGTAAAGCTTGAAATGTACCTTTCATAATAATGAAAATCATCACGAATAAAAGGAGCTCCTACGTTGAATTCCAGGCGAAGGTTCTTCACTTGTGGAATGTTTGCAGTGTGAGGAGTTAGGTTTATCGCTCCTACTCTGAACATCAGCTGTACTGGTGCAGACGTTGGAACTTCGACCTGCCTTTACGTGTTAGACTGCATGTGAGCTCAGCGCTGCGCTGCACGTCACTTAGTGTGTGTGAGTGCAGTGGCCCGAACTTGTACGAGCAGGCGCTGTACGAATTATTCCCTTAGTGTGACCCTAACGAGCTGTGCATAACGATGTTCTTGGGACTCACTAGCGGAACTTCTTCGTTTTAACGGAAGATTTTATTTCCGGCAGGGGCGCTACAACATCGGATGCACAATTGGCGCACTCCGAGACTGTGAAGTATTAATGTTAATGGAGGCCAGCTTTTTCTCGCTTTAGCTTATTTACGCGTATAAAAGGGTCGATTTTGAAGTAAAGAAATCTAAGCAGGGCGCAATCCGAGGGAAACCGAGAAACGGCTGAAAAAGGCGCCGATGGGGGAATCGAACCCCGGCTACGTCGTTAGATACGCGTAGGCAGCACCACTGCACCACGGCGCAATACGTTGAAATCCTTTGAAAGATTTTGTCGCTGTAGGTGAGTCGCTTCTCGCTTCACAAAACGTAAAACCTAAATATGTTGTAATATGTTGCGATATCCCAATTAAACATGAAGAAAATTATCGCGTACGCGTTCTGTTTCATTTTGCGCGCCGGGATTACGTATCAAATTGCCGGTTAAACGTCAACGATGCACTTATACTCGTATAGTCACCCTCTTACAGTAGTTTAAATAAATTAAATTCAGTTGCCATATACAGCACGGCATAAAGAACCTCAAACAGGATTTTCCAGAGAAAACGATACACGGCTGCCAATAACCTACGGTTCATCAGTGACTCCAAGCCGCTGCCTGACTAGCGGTCAATATTGATTACTGACCAGGACAAATTCTTTGTAAAGCCAACCGGTAAATATTACATAGGCAGTTGTTCGACATTGCCCAGATGTACATTTGATTCAAGATGAACAGGATGCGAATGTTCAGGTCAAGGTCAGCATTACTTGCACAGGTCGACCTTTGCAAATGGCAATTGCTATAGCGAATACCAGTGCACACATTAAAATATTTGGAAAGCCTGGCGAGTACCGCGTATACCATGAACGTCGTCTTCACTTCAACAAAATTTTTCCTAATAAAATTAGCCTCCTGCAATTCATTGTTGTCGTGAAATGTGCAGCAGAGTTACTTTACACTGGAACTATTCAGTCATTCTTGTAAAACGGTGAATTGTGTACTGACGAGCTACCGGCCACTGTAGAATTAATATTTATGCATTTGTACGGACCACATATCCTGCACAGATGGAGTGGACTGGCCGTGCACGCCTGGAACGGAGTGGATGTGATGATGGATGGGCGGTTGCGGCACGGTCGGGTGGTGGATCAAGTGCAGCGGGGATTAATGGTAGACCTGCCTCCTATGCCGCAGCCGGTTCTGGTTCAGTTCGGCAATGTCTTCGATTGTTCCCATCGCTGGACATCGGAAGAATTTCCGAGGGAAGCGAACCCCAGTAACGCTTTCTTAGCAGTTTCGACGCCAGTGAAAGTGCAAGTGCTGATGCGCTCGCATCCTGCTCGCATTTGGACATGGTTCCCAGCCGTGTTATTGACAAGTGTGTCGGGACATCGCAGTACAATATACGGCCTCGTTGAAGCGCGAGTAGAAAGTGGGACCGTACGAGAGCTGCTGCCCGCCATGCAGATACGTCTTCCGCCATCCTCGACGGATCTGTACCAACGACGCATCAGTAAAGATTTTTTTGTCATCAGATCATGCCCACTGCCTCCTGGCTATTGGTCGCGCGTCACACCGCAAATAGAGGCATGCTTTAAGCATGAACTGCAAGTGCGTAATATAGCTATACATGTAGTCGGTGCGTCTAGCGACAGGATTTTATATCTTGGTCGTCGGGATGAGAGGAAAGCTGTGGACTGGAAAATGGTAAGCAATGTATGGCAAAGCTCACAAAAGTAAAAGCCATGAAAAGCTGTGAAAGTGTTCATACTAGAAATTTTTGGATGCTTAAATTGCACATATTTGAAAATTGAAATACGCCTCATTAAAGCAATAGTTGATATTTATGATGTCTTCGCAAATTTTATGGACAATAATATCAAAAAGCACGTTGTGTAAAGATTGGAACCTACGCCTGCTAAAAAATAATAGCTATAATTTCCGCATTGACCTACGTAGCCGAATTTAAATTTTTATTGTGTAGATGTGGGCTACTGTAATACTATAAATTGTTGAAATGCGGCAGGATACGAAACTCCAATGTGTCTCTACTGCTGCAGAGTACGCACAAACTGCACAACAGGCGTACAAACTTTACGAGTACGAGGACCATTGGGTGCTGTGAACATACCCTGCACGATTAGGCTGCGATGAACAGCCGTAGCTCGCAACGCCACTGATATCACAGTCTGAATGCAAACGGCTTAACTTTAGCCGGCTGTTCATCGTAGCCTAATCGTGCAGGGTATGTTCACAGCACCCAATGGTCCTCGTACAGCAGGGACTCCTTTTATAGAACGGTTCACCGGTCAGCGTTTGGTCATGACAGGATCGTAACGCAAGATCCGAAAAACTTTTTTTTCGTGAAATTGTAGTTATAGATTAGTCTAATAATATTGAAATCTAACGAATGTACAAGCACCAGCCCGAAGCGCGCATTTCTTGCTTTATACGTTTTGGCATATTAAGAGTTTCTCTTGCAGAATCAGTATTTCGATTCCGCTACGGACGATGCGTCTGATAATTCACGTTCCCATTACGTGAGTATGGTCTACCGGTACAGCTTCCGAATGAGACCAATGAAGCAACGAGTGCAAAATGGACCAAATAGAATGAATTGCCTATCGCTACCTTCGGCGATTTTCGTGTACGTGTTCCAGTGTTTAAATGCAGTAGAGCAACAACGTTGTCGGCGCACTTGTGGTATGTGGGATGCCATTTTCACGTCCCACGAGCTGCAGCAGTACATCTATGTGTCGTGCAATAACTGCAGTTTTCCACCGGGATCCTTGTATTTTAATGTAGAGGAATATGCCATGCTCGGTTGCTTAGCTAAGCTTATAACGTCCGCAACGAGGGCCGTTTGTCTCATGGGCACTGCTGATGTATCACCCAACGGTCTTTTGGCAGGAAGATTGTTATTGGGACACCATCTTCGAAAGTCATTGATTAGAAAGTTTTATTTTGTTAACTGTAAATTTACTACGGAATGCGGAAGGGAATTTTGGAACCACTTGAACGAGACGGCTGACGCATACCGTACTGTTGGGACATCGTGTTTTGCAGAACGGATAGTGTGGGTCAACTGTAAGTTCCGGGATCCCGTCTTTACGTTGAAGCTTCTGGAAATTCGTGGGGCGGAAGCGGACATCCCATACGCCGTCATCAATCCACATTCAGTTAATGCTGGGGATCTCTGCAGTTTACTGGAAATGCATCTGGTTTGTGAAGGAAGATTGGACACTGCGGGAATTACAAAATGGGTTAGGGAATCTATTGCGAAGGACAGCCGGCACCTTAGTGTGATTTGTCAGGTACTTTTTCTGCAGCGTAGAGTGAATATTCTTTACTCGTACCTAATTTACAACATTCCCTTTCGAAAATTGCCAGACTTTCGAACTGGGATCTAAAATTGCGAATAGAATTCCGTTTCCGCGTCAAACCGTCCAACCAGCAGACCAAACAGCCAGAAATATAAAAGCAAACAGACATATAGTTTCGCTTTTCGGTATAAAATTATAAACAAGCGTTTATTTAAATCTCGATAAGGTTTGTAGTACTGTGTTGCATAAGCGTACAGTATTCGGTCAATGCTCCATTACCGTAACGTATTATCCGTTTAAGCAAAAGAAATGCTGTGTTAGCCTAAAGTGTATGATCAGTGCCGTATAATAAGAACCGCTTTGTCTTGGAACTAAAGCTTGCGTAGCCTTTTGTCATTGAAATTTTAGTCCGTTGGTCTGAAACATGTATACAGACAGTATGGTCGGCTCTGAAAAATATATGGATAGAATATACGGTAGTTATATTGGTCCCTTAAATCTGCACAAAAGAGAATACGGTCAACTTCCATTAATTTTAAAGGTAATACCTCTGACGCTCTCAATAAATAATAAATCGCTCGCAGTTCCAGTAGAATGAATGTCAAGAAACAAAGAAAATGGACACCTTGAAAAACAGATACGCATCTTTTCCTAATACCTACGTAGTAGACAAGCATTGTAAACACCTAATACATACTCCTATAACACCCGTACGCTCGTTCGGCTGACCACATTTAGTAGGTGAATAACCGTGAATGGGCGTGGTATAACGGAAGCTACTTGTTCTTTCTCAGATTCTGAACACCTACCAGAGCCCTGATTCGCGGCCTGCCGCGAATTACCAGGGCCAATTGTGGACATGGGAAAACATTACCAGCC